ATAATATAATATAAATTTTATTATAATATATATTTTTATATTATTAAGTTTAGGATTATTTAACTCTAAATTCTATATAAAAATAGATATTAAAGCCTAATATTAAAAAAAAAGAATTTTTATTTAAAGATTAAGTATATTAGCTTATAGTTTTCTTTTTATAAGATTTAATAAATAGACCTAGACATCCCTAGCTAGATATATTAGGATTAGGTTATTATTATTATTATAATATTATTATATTATAAGAAATATTTTATAGAATAAGATTTCTATTTATTAATAATATTATTATAATATTTTTTTTATTACTAATAATTAATCTAGTAAAATTAGGATTAATTAATAGTACTAGATTTAGTAAATAAACTATAAAAATTATAACTATTTCTAGCTAGATCTAGGCGCGCAATTTCAAAAATTCGATTCATGTGGACGGAGATGTTCGTSAACCCTGGATATAAGCACCTAATTCAGATAGCCAAAAAATGTGCTATAACCCAGGTGGTGCTTTATCTCGAGTGCCAGCAAACTGTTACGAAACCAACTTGCATGATACTAGGCAGAATCTAGTAGTACTATTAAAGGAAGGCGCCTAGTCATAGCAGCTAACACTACAACCAGTCAATTCCACGACTTAATACACGGGCGGTTAGCTAAAGGTACGGGCTTGAGAATAACTAAGAGAAGGTATATAATATAAAAGTATATACTAAAGTATACGTAGGAATATATAAGTAAAATATATATAGAGTATATATTTTAAGAATATATATACTAAAGTATATATTAAGAAAAAATCTATATAAATATATTTATTTAYTATATATTTAGTTATTCTTTATAGCTTTTTAATATAAGTTATTTAAATATAATAATAAAAATTAGTAAAATATTTATATTTATATAGATATTAAGCTATATAAAAGATCTTTTTTATCTTAGTTATATTAAGACTTTAGTGTTCTATATTAATTATTATTATTCTATTTACTTAGTCTACCTTATTAACAATAACTATTAAACCTTTATATGGTTTAATAAAGCCTAGCGTACCTCGACACAACGCTGTTTAACTAAGGTGAATCCAGGTCCGTGACATAATTGAAGCTATTAACGATTTCTAATTCCTATATGCAGTTATTAGGGTAACTCGATGGATAGCTAAAGTTTATTTTTTCATAAGAATAATAATAAAGTTGTGTAGGAACAGGCTTATAATAATAATAGATGGAGCAGAATAGGAAAAAATTTTGGACTCGCGGGGAATCGAACCCCGGACCACTCCCATGCTAAGGGAGTATTATACCACTAAACCACAAGCCCTTGTTGTGATTCGTCGGATATCTTTGAGCTATATTGGCAAGCAGTATTTTATCTTACTTGAAAACTAGTCTTTTTCACTAATTTTACATACATACCCGTCAGTCACATCGGCTCGTAGTATATGAATATCTTATTTCGTCTTCTTTCGAGGCTTCATCGGTCCACCTAATGTGAACTTCTATGACTGCCAATGAGAAGATATCTCATTTTTCTCTACAGAAGAAACCTTTTCTACATTTCCCCATATTCTATAAACTCTCCTTGCCCTCGCTTTTATATATCATCGAATGATACGTACGGTATAAGAGGGCGAGGCGTAGAGTTAATTTTTCTTATCTAGGTCAAACTAGTGACCTGTTGGGTAGACAGCTCAATAGAGTCATTGAATCAGGAAGTCCTATTGTCTTAATAGCAGATGCTTGGCCGGACACCAGTGACTTGTCAAGGAACTCATAGATCTGCATTGCTTCGGGCTAGGTTATTGGTCCGAGTTTGGTGATACATCTTACGTGGATTCAGAGAGTCTGTGATCTCTGGATCAGCTTGTAACATCCTAGTCGGTTGCTGTAGTAGTACTTATCTGACGGTTACATGGTGGACATGATTTATATGCGTACTATGTCACAGTGCTCTTCATAGAATTACATTATCATTATTTCTTTATGCAAGACTCGGGAGAGATTCTGTCGCAGAGCACCAAATTATTTTAGCATTGTGACTGTTGACTATCTAACCATGAGATGAAAGCATGACTACAGGCCTAATAAAGAACTTCCAATGGTCCAGCTATCGCAACATCATCAACCTGACAAAGTCTTACCACCATCAGAAACAATGGCAGTGCCATCTACTGAAGCATCCTTCATAAAGTACAAATAAGCCTCGGCAATATCCTCTGGTTTCCCCAATTTTTTCGTCAAAGTGGATTCCTTGACCTCTTGCAGAAACTCAGCTGGCCGCCCACTTGCAAGTTCCGTCTCAACGAATCCGGGATTCACCACGTTCACGCGAATAGGGGCGAGTTCAATAGCTAGTCCTCGAGCGAGACCTTGTAATGCACCGGAAAGCATGGCCACCATGGGCCAAGTAGGGCGAGGCCGAATATGGGCAGTCCCCGAGGTGAAAGTGAATGATGTCGTTGCTGATTTATTCACGTAGTCAGTTGTGGCGATGACCTTGGCTATCAAGGCCGGGGCAAAGACTCGTACGCCCATCAAGGAGTTGATGACGTGGATATCAGTGCCTGTGATTCCCCCGGCAACGTCAACTCTGTCCCCAGCGGTGAAGACAATGTGATCAATCTTTTGCTCTGCACCTTTCGAGGCAACATGGAGCGTCTCTCGGATTCTGGCTTCTAAGCCTTCAGAGCCGGTCAAGTCACATACAGAGGTGCTGATTTGACCATCTTTTAGGTCTGGATAAGATGAGCGGAGACGCTTGATGGTATTGCCCAGCTTTTCAGACTTGGATCCAGATATGGTAACTTGTGCTCCATGCTCTAGTAGCGCCTCAACGACAGCGTAGCCTATCCCAGAGGTCCCTCCGAAGACGAGGACACGCTTATCTTGCAATTTACCAAGGTATTTGAAGGCTTGCATTTTGTAGTTGAAATACTTTGACAATCGAAGTCAAGAAGAGAGACATAGAGGGACTTTTTATAGACAAAAGAATCGCTATTGACAGCAACCATGCTTCCAAGATGATTTCTCAACATGTAGGACTTGTTTCCTATTTCGGTAATTCTTGAGAGAAACGCGATTGATGCAATTGTGCTTTATAATCATTAAAGAGCGAGAAGATTAATTTGAGCGCAAAGTCAGCTATCGATTGATTGAATCAATATTTAAGCTGCTTATTACTGAATCATCTACTCCTTGAATTACTTCCTTGGGTTGCCGTTGAGGCAATGATACTAAACCACAAACGGTAATTCTTGCGACAGAGTTTGGGTTCGGCATCAATCATCCGATTTGATTGATATCAATTTCCCTTCTTACACACCACTGCGTCGATATTGGTTTTAGCAGGAGAATTTCTACTGGGTTCCATAAAAACCTGCTTTGGGTGGAAGATATCGCAAGGCAACATTCGGTTATTCGATGGTTTATCGCGGGCCTGCACGGGGTTGTCAGAGGTGTAAAGACCGCCACGTTAAGGTAAGCGATTCCTTGCAGTCAGCTACTAATCAGGACCCTAAAATAAATCAATATGGTAGTGTGACCTAAAGCGCCCCGTCTGCAGACAATGCGCAAAACTGAAATTCAGCTGTCCGGGCTATGGCCACGAGCTCGATGTGATCCTTAGGAATCAGACGGCATCCGTTCTATGTCGCAATCGACGGAAAGATGCACGAAGACTTCAGAATCAGTCGTCTGATCAGCAGATACGCAGTACTATGCCCAAGGGTCTCTCGCAAAGCGTGGAGATTCGTGCATTGACCTTTTTGTTCAAGTCAAGTACTATTGTATACAAGAAAGATAGAAGATCAAGTCATGGGCACCTTGACTTCCTTCAAAACCTCTATGACAGAGTTACATCAGACTCAGCCCTGGCGCTCGCCACGACATGGTTTGCTGTCCTGATTCTGGGATTGTGCGACAAGAGCGGGCGCCTTTACCGTAGAGAATTGAATCGGCTCTTGAGTCGTGCAATCCGAAGCGTTTCAGAGGCAATCGAAAATCCCAGGGATAGCATTACGAAAGAAACATTGACTGCCGTTGTCCTTCTTGCTCATGGAGAGCATCTACAGTACACGAAAAAGCAGAGTGACCTGAAACCGAATTTACTAGTCCACCAGGACGGTGCAGAGGCTTTAATCAGGAAGCGAGACAGGTTGAACTTTCAAGACAGCACATCAATTGCGCTTTTCAATGCCGTTCGCCATAATGCTGTCAGTATGGCATTCGCTGGGGTTAGACCTATCCGTGAAAATTGGGCGATGTGGGCTGTTGATAGTGATGACCAGGCTCGTCAATTGTGCGACTGTTATACTCTTGCCACTGAGTTGGATGCGTGTTGTCTTTCAATACTGTCTTTGAAGGATAAGATGATGTGCGCGGATGTCAGTGGGTATGCAGAATTGCAAACAGAACTGTCATCGCTCCTTGAACGTCTGAGGTGTTGGCAACACGCTCTTCCGAGCGAATGGTTCCTTGGTCTGCCTGCAGGTACCCATTCAGAAACCAAGTCATTAGAGGTCTGCTACCTTTTCAACGACTGGAATCTCCTCCAACTAGCTGTCAGGCATCTCCTGAAAGAGCTGAGATTGAATACCATAGGTCCGGGATTCTATGCCTCTGATTTCTCCGACGAGCTGGACTTGATAGACAATGTCATGGCCTCCGAGTCTTTGTTCATCGTTGCCGAGCAGAGCGCTGGCTCAGATCCTGAAAAGATTGACGTAGAGATTCAAGGCCGAAGACTTTTTCGGCAAACGACTGAGAAGTTGGGATTGATCGTCTCGTATGCGTTGCAAAAGCTGGCTTTGCCGCATACTGTCACTCTGTGTTACCGCGAGGTACTGTCTTGGGTAAGGAAAGAGCGATTCAGAGGGGAATGCTATGATTCAACATAACCATTTGAACCAGCCCTCCTTAAGAGCTGTGCGTGGTGGAGAAGGAAAGATTGAATTTGGAGAAGGAGTTATTGAGCAAATTCGACGGATTGTATTAGAGTTGAACCATCGAAATAAAGAAGAGTGAACAAGAACACAATCCTACCTATTGCTATTGCTGCATCATCCTAATCGAAAAAAATACAACTGGGCTTGCTCGATATACTGCATCAACTAGCAAGATCTGATGACCTGATTACATAATTTGATCAAGTGAAGCCCCAAACACACACTGGTATAGCGCAAAACTCTGTTGTACATACTATCTGCTACTCTTTTACCAGCCTGCCGGTCTAGTAGATGATGCAAGCATACATAGGTATCAGATTGAGAGCGTACTAGTACAATCATCAAGACAACTATGAGTAATACTTGAAACAGATCACAAGGTATATCCTAACATCTTCTAGTGGTATCCAAGGAAAATCATTCAAAACATCATGAAAAGCAAGAGTGCCTCCCTCCCCAGTATCCATAACCAAGACAAAATTGAAAATGACGACCGCGAAGAGGCTCGACTAGAAAACCGAGCTTGACGCAAGCTCTATAAAGTAATAGGGGGAGAGTTTATCTATCCTTATGTGCATCTATCCAAACAATCAATCATTTAATAGGGATGTGTACTCATGAACGATGATATATTAGGACTCATCTCACACGTGAGATAAGATCACTTTTAAGCAATCTTTGAAACATGCTCTTCACCTGCTGGCGGGGTAGCGGCAGCCGCGACAAATTCATCGCTATGCGCCGAAACTTTCTCCTGAGACTCCGTGGTTTCAGCAGGACCGAAGCCATACTGAATAGCCATACGCTCAATCTCCTCGTCAGTAAGGTATGGTAGCTCTCGAGCGGCCCGGACATAGCCGATCTTCTCGGTGTAACCCTTGGCAAAGATGAGATCAATCTCTTCAAGAGATCGTCGTGCAGTTTCGGGGTACCAGAAGTAGATAATTGGCAAGAAGCAGGCGTTCACGATCGCGAAAAAGAGATAAGTGCCCCAGCCAATGTTCGAAATCATAACCGGGGTAACCATGACAATCAAAAAGTTGAACAACCAGTTGGTGCAAGTTGAGAGTGCGTTGGCCTTGGCACGGGTCTTGATGGGCGAGATCTCAGCAGGGTACAGCCAGGGTAAGGGGAGCCACGTAGCACCAAAGCTGGCAATGTACGTGAACAGACCGACGGCAGCACCCTTGGCAGCGCTGGGAGTACCAGGAATCAAACAAGCAAAAGTGAGGACCATAGACAAGCACTGACCAACAGTTCCGTAGAGGAAAAGCTTCCGTCGTCCGACACGCTCAATCAGGAACCAGGACATGGTGGCAAAGATGGAATAAACAATCATGTTAACACCACCCAAGAGCAAAGACAAGGTATGTGTTTGACCAATGGATTTCTCAAAGAGAATGGGGAAGTAGTAGATGACAGCATTGCACCCACCAATCTGCTGCATGAGCTGCGAGGAGGCACCAAGCATCATACGACGGAAATGTTGGGTCTTGCCTCCGGTGAAGACAGCAGACAGGGGAGTCGATTTACCCATTTGCCCGGATGCGCGAATTGAGTCCAAGACCAAGGTCTTTTGCAACTGCACGCCATGGGAATTGGTCTCTTCATCCATCAAAGCTGCAATAACCGCCTCGCCCTCCTGGTAGCGCTCTCGCATGAAGAGCCAACGCGGAGATTCGGGGAGGAAGGCCATTCCGGCAATGATTCCAAGACCGAAGACAATTTGGAAGGCAATGGGGAAACGCCATGTCAAGTCATCCGGGCCATATGAGGCACCGAAATCGATCCAGTACGCGATCAGAGTACCGAAGGCGATCACACCACCCTCGATACAGATCAACAGACCACGGTTGGTGGTGCGGGAGCACTCAGCCTGGTACGTGGGGATGGTCGAGGTGTTGATTCCATTACCGACACCAGTGACGATACGTCCGACGATGAACTGCGCAAGGGGAACATGGCCGGGGTATGAGGTAACCTGGATCACGACACCCAGAATCATGATGGTGGCGCCCAACATGACGGATTTGCGACGGCCCAGCCAATCGCCAAACCAGAGAATGAACATGGCGCCAAAGAGACAGCCTATGGTTGCTGTCAGTGTCTATCTCTGGACGGGATGTAGAGCAGTCACATACCAATTTCATACAAGGCAGTCACGGTACCTTGCATGGTAGAGTTGCCATCTGTGGCAGTGAAGACGGAGTTGAAAGGCTTTGCGCTAATGATACCGCTCATGACACCCTCTGTGACGAAGTTAGCCTTTCCTGTGTCAATATGCAACGCGGGCGGGCGACTTACGGTCATAACCAAAGAGAAGAAAGCCCAAAGTTGCAATGGTCGAGATGGACCATGACAACTTCTTGCCGGACATGCCGGCGAACTGAGGAACGGTCATTGCGAGGAGGAAAGCGCCAGCTTGCCCCGTCAAGTATATCTATGTATATATACTGCTGCTGTAGATACTTAGGGTTATAAGCCTCAAGCCGACCTTTCTTTTGTGACCTCCAAGAACCAGCCTGGGAAGAGGAAAGGACAAAAGCACACGAGAAGAGCAGAAAGAGAAAGGACAATGAGGAGAATGCAAGGGCACGAAAAATAAATGCGGAGGGAGAGACGATCTTAAGTAAGCCCGCCCATCTGCACCTTCCCCCCATTGCCATCCGCATCCCCAGCTCTTTCCTTCTCCGGAAGAGAAATCCACAGGTCAGGTCGGGCACGCCAAGAGAAGAAATCGCGCTTTCCTCGAGTCCGACAACCTACGGAGCGTGCATGCATACTACTACTACTACTACTACGTACTGCCATGTAGTATGTATGTACGTAGTACGTATACATGGACGATGGAGCAATGTAACATGTGCCTGTGTGGGCAGACCCTGGTTTCTCTGGCAGACCGAGGCCGCTGACTGGAGGATGCATGACGGAGGAGGCAGCCCGCGTCCAATAGGCGCATGCTGATCTGCGTTTGAGTGGAGAAACCAGTGGAGAGATTTCTGTTTCAGGATAAGCCGGCGTTGTGATCATCTCCAATTGGCTGGACGCCATGCAGGCTGCCCCTTCAGCGGGGGCTGCCCAAGGTTCTCTCCAGCCTCAGTTACCGGATTCATCCCGACAAACGGAGCACCACCTGCTTTCCATGAATCACAGGCTTTCAAGTACTCTTCATTCATCCACAGTACTACTACATCGTATGTGCCATTTATGCTCTCAGTATGGAGTGCCGTTGAGAACCCCACATCACGTGAAAACTGGACATGTGAAACCCACATGTCAAAGATCACGAACTGACAGGCACCCGATATCTACAACAGAGAACTACTGTTGGAGCAGATGCTGTCGGCTACCAGAGTCGCTCGGCTTGCCGCACACAGAAAGCAACCAAAAAAAATAAACATAGCCAGTTCTGCTCTGTTTAACTTTGCTAGGACGTCATCTTGAATCTTCTTCCGCCAAGCAGTTCCATTCGATCTGATTGGGCTGGAAGTTGTCAGAGGAAATGAGATGTGGGGGAGCGCGACCCACATACATAGTAGTACACTTATATTATGTACTTCCTCTCTCAGGCTCTCTGTACGCTGTGTACGGAGTACTCACAGTGTGCCGAAACATCGGTAAACACTCGGCTATCAACTTACTCGGACGTTGTCGGCTTGGTCCGACTGACAAGGTCCTTACTGCCACTGATTGTAGAAAGCTGCACTGCATTGGAAGAGCCATCAACATCTATCTAATCGAGCCCCTCTTCCCCGCTCCCAAGTTCTACTCCAGGTCAATCTGTCAGGCCTTTCTCCATGTGCTTATGTCTGGAGACGAGCCCTGGAGATCCAAGTATCGGCATCTGAGCAGCATGTCAAAGCTCAACCGGGATGAGATCGTCAACTCTCCTTCTACTTTCCGTCTCGGTACGCTTTACGAGCCGCTCCCAATGCAGCGTCTCTGCAAGACTGAGCGTTAGCCTCCCTTAGTACGTACTGTTCAGAAATTACCAGTCTCCATCCACGACCCAAACAAAACTCACCACGGAGACATCACAGCCAGTCACATAACCGTTGAAGGCCGGCCTCTCCACAACGAAACTCACATGGTGGTCACCCTAAGGCATTTACATTGTGTCAAGAGATTTGATTTTAATTTTCCGGGCGGTGTCGTGAGCAATGGCGAGTGGACGATCAATATGTCGGAAACTCATGCCAGCACATAATATTCGAAATAACTTTTTTCGGGCCGTGTACTGACTCGAGAATTGTCTTTTCATGCAGAATTCGTAGGTTTTCACACACGGAAAATCTGCGTTTATTGCCCGAGACCTCTATATAAACTGCGCCGGATACATAGCGACAGGCATATAGTTCTTCACAGGCTACATAGATGGCAACACGTATATCTAAGATATCAGTCACCCAGTCAACCCGAGCCATCTTTCCCAATTCACTCTTGGTATTAACTTACTCCTCATTTTAATTTGATTTTGAAATTATTCATCGACTGCGCGCCACCAATAGAACCACCGGCACGGTATTCAAACCTCGCCTGTTAGTCGGTCACGGTGGGTCTGCTCTTACTCAACACTCTGCATACATCTCCTGTGGGACGCTATCAGAAATGCAAAGTCAGGTTCATTCCTCGCTTTCCAATAGTCGAGCCGCCTTTACCCGGGAAGTGTCAGATCAAGACATATGCTACTGTAGCATTATAGTCCGTGATAATGGATCGAGTTTTGTGCTCGGGTCTGATACGTATTGATCCGATAGTCACACCGCAAATGATGACGGTATGAACATATAACGAGTGCATCGAGGCTTCTCGGTCCCGCCAGACAGCCTATGGCTTGCTGTAATATTTGGCATCTTCTCACGCTGCCCGATGTGCGTGATATTCTTCATCCTCATTGCTAAAGCTTCTTGTCAGGAGTCAATGGTATCAGTGGTGTGTACTCATGCTCTTTCACTTGTTAGCTGTGGTATTTACTTTGAGTAAGAGTGAAAAGGACTCTCGGCTCCTTTGGACTGATTTTTCCAAGTGGATCTTTTTCTCCAAGCATACAGAAGACACCTGCATGACGATAGAATAAATGCTTGCTTACTTATTTGGCCATAAATCGACTTCCGGTGATCATTTTCTGGTTGTCGGAACGCTATATTTGCCACTTTTCTAGACTAGGGACATCGAAGAAAGCCACCTGCATGATAGTATCGTCTCCCATACGCCGAGTAAACGGCGAGTTAAAGGCAAGACGACCTGCTATCAACTCATCATGGTTTCCGCCGAGAGCATTACGCACCAGATGCACAGCAACGCTGCTATCCTGGATCGTTGTTCTCTTCTGCACAACTCTCCAATGCACTCCCCTCCAAAAATGACCAAAGCCAAACGAACCTTATGCCAGATCTGCTTCGTTCTTATTCATGCTCTCAATTTCTTGCGATCGTGACCATTTCTCTACCAAGTCGACTCCTTGCTGACTCTCTAGCGTATTCTACAAGCCGTCCGTCGCCTTGATCAAGGTTGAAAGCTTTGTGGGATCGATCTTGGTGCTTGTCACGACTGGTTCGCCAGTCAAATATGGGGGTGTCCGAACGTCGTGCTTTGGTGTCAAGGGAGCTGGACCAAAGAATCTGCGCTGAACATCCTGCTGGATTTCTAAAGGCCACTTCCATTGACCATCGCCAAAGGCTCTTGAAACCTCTATCCCTAGCACACGTCACTTCATCACCCTTTTCTGCCGGTCTTAAAAATACACTGACTACAAACAGCGAGAACAGAAGAGAGAAGTTTCGTAGATAACAGGTTGAAATGTCTGGGTAAGTTTTTCATTTGAAAATAAATGTATAAATTCATCACACCTATATACAAGGAAAGGTATTGTAACAAGAAGGAAGAAGGAACAAGAAATACTTGTTCCCACTACGAATCTAAACAAGGAAATGTCGACACATATATCATCATGTCTGTATAGTCACATTTCGTCGTCCAACAGCCTCCTCAACGTGGAATCCAAATACAAGTCTGTACAGATCTCGTAACCACGTATATTGCCCGTTTTGTACCATCGATTGCACCGCTCGTGCGACGTCCACGGCCCCTGCAAGACCTGGTGCTCCGATGACCCTAAAGGCAGCGTCGGTGGTGACTAGCTTTTTATATTGTTCGAGCAGTGACACTTGCCATGGCAGCGAGCCGAAGGAATCTGACGAAAGGGATTTGCTGAATGAAGATAGCGTCTGATTACTACCTCGTTGATATCCCGTGTCCATGGCTGCTTTGGTTATGAGAAGCTTCAACCGGATGATATTCGGATCCTCGGCCGACGTCACCACTGTGTTGGTCGATGAAGTATGCTCGGATGTACGTGACCGGCCTGACAACGTCGATGAGCTGGAAGACCACTTGTTTTGACTGGCTTGGACCGCCTGGGCATGTCCAAGCACGAGAATGTTAGGAATCGGTGCATCATCTGGCGAGATCGTTGCAGTGTCCTCAAAGATTGTAGTCGGTGTCTCGGGGTTCAATTGAGAGGCCGAGTCCTCATCCACCATCATCACCGGCGTTTCTCTGGCTTTCTGCATCGCCTCGGAAAAGCTGATTTGACTCGGCCTAGGGGTTCCTCGATCTGGCCGAATCTGCGTCCATCCTTCACGGAAGAGATCGCAAAGCTCCCAGCAAGCTTGAATGGCCGACCCCAAAAGTTCCTCGTCAGGGTTCTTGCCCTCCCGCTTGCTTTGCCGAATACTAAAGAGCATCTCAGCCAATGACCAGCAAGCATGCAGTAGCGAATCCGTCTCTTCCTCAAGGTGCATCCGCTGTTTCATGAGCCGATGGCACAGCGTTATGTAGAAATCAAGGGTGCGCTCCCGGAACATCGGAGGTAAATTGTGATCGCTAGCATTGTAAAGGTGATTGTTAAGCTCAAAGCTGACTCGCAATACAGAGTCTGCGTCTTCGTTCTCTCGAGCGCGGACTTCGAACAAGGCCTGACAAAAGTCCCGGCACAAGTCCAATGTAGGGTCGACTTGCGACGCATAGTCATCCTCTCGACCCTCGTATAATTTTCGACATAGTTTCCAGCAGGATTTCCATGCTAGCTCCTGCATATCTCCTTTGCTCGTCGAATTGAATAGACGTTCGCGATGATTAGAGCTCAAATTAGCTAACGTATTACAAAAAGTCCAGCACTCGTCAAGCGCTGTCCACAAAGCGGCAGTCTCGTCTCTCCGAGTCTGAATGCCTGGACTTGAAAATGAGAATATCTTTCTAGGTGTTGGGTCTGCATTGACCGTTATCATTGCTATTGGTGAGTTGGATGTAGCCGAGGTTACTGATATGTCGGTATCGTTGCCCTCAGGTATATCTGTCTAAAGTCAGCTCGGTCTTCCCAAGTGTTGGAATGATTATACTTACCCTCGAGACTGGTAGAATGGCGCCGATCAAGATCTTCGATTTCCTGCCGCGTCTGCGCGCGAGGTGTTGCTCTATCTGACCAGTCATTTGCTGGAGGGATGGTTGTCGTAAGTGGAGGTGGGGATGCAGGGCTATTGACGGACTTCTAAGTAGAAAATGCGTATAAGTCACGGTCACGATACCATATGTACATGGGATACTAACCTTGTCCGCTACTCTATCGTTGCTGACTATCGTCTCTTTGATATCCGCATCGCCGATGACCGAGGTGTGTTGTCCGTCATTCTGGCGATGGATCTGATTTGGGCCGCTTTTCTGTAGCAAACGTTAGGGCCTTTCTATACGCCGTGCATCAAAGTAGTCAACATACCCCAATAAATTCGCCAAAGCCTGCCGGAGCATGAATGACAGATTGAGGGGCATCCTCATCGGATCGGGGCATCGAGCCAAAGAACTGGGCATTTGGGGTTTTTATCTGCGCAGAAGCATCAGTATATACTCTAGCAGGTAAATCAATCGCGATGTGGTGTGGCATACCGTAAGTTCCGGTTGCATGGAGGTCAATATTCGCTTCCCATGATTCATACTTGGAGGTGTTGTCGCCTTTGGTTCTTCCGCCGCGGGCTCCTCCACGTCGATTGTGTTGGATCCGTGATCGTCGTCGGACGCGACACCATTGTCTATTGAAGTATTTTGATCCATCGTAGCGACAGAAGATGGCGCTTGGTTCCCGGATGCAACGCTAAACCTAGTCCTAACAATTAGCGGACAGCCATATATAACTGGTAATTGTGTGTCTTTACATATCCGACACCGTAGAGGCCGGTTGACTGGAGTTTCGGCGATTCGTCCGCGAGGGCCCCAGCTTACTCAACGACGCGGGGATCAACGGGGACTTCAGGGAAATCATTGCACGAGTGATGGCTGGCAGAACCAATCATCAACCTTTGAGTTTCATGTCAATGGGGATCGCTGTGACTTACCATCACCTTCACACCTGCGATTAAATAATAAAAGTAGTATACCGGAGCTAAGCTGCGACGTAGGATGATTTAAACGGGATGTCACGCAGAATTGAAACAATTGGCCAATGGTTGCACAAAAGTTGCTTTTGGAGAGCTGAGCGTGATGCGCAACAACAGTCGCTGTATGGGATCAGGGTATATATATGTATGTCAACGGCCAGCTAGCTCATGACGTTTTCTGGTATTAAGCTTGCTCGAGGCGTATATAGCATTGTCTGAGTATGCGCATGAAATAAGCGATAAAATGATACAATGACAGAAAGAAATAAAAAGGACGAAAGGTAGAACGAGGTATAGACGAGTGGGGAAGAGCTGTCTGCCTTATCTGGCTGAAGTTCGAAGTCACGAGTGCTAGACAGAAACAGACATTCTGGACCAATCCTTCTGGACGAGCTGAAGCTGACGGCGCGGATGCAGACACACAGACAGGCAGACACACACACAGAGAGAGAGAGAATGGGGGAGAGAGAGTTGAAGAATGAATTGTTGGAGGTGGTGGTGGTACAAGTCAGTAGTCGGCTGCCAGGAAGGAGACTCAGAGAGGGGCCAGACAAAGCAAGAACGGGTCGGGGTACTAGAAGACTACTATACTCATACTTAGTGCTGCGTGACGGCTCACCACTATTGCAGCGCCATCCACGCGCATTGGCTGTGTGTTCCCAGGGCGCTGGTTAGCCCGTCTTTGGCGGTCTTTTTAGTACACGCATTAAGTGCTGCTAACCTGCTCGGTCAGAGTCTGGTGGCTAACGCTCTGCGCTGATTGGCATCGCTGCACCGCGACTGCACCTTAAGCGCCACTAAAATCGCGCCTTTTCCTATTGGCGACATACTCGACCCTCTACTACGTATGTACATACTGGATACTCTCTCGAGAGACGCTATACACGAGAAACAGAGATCGTCCGTCGTCCCAATAGTCCGGTACCGTCAAACCCAATAGACTGCTTAATGGTTGTGTTTGAAATCTTGTATTCTATTTACGTGCTACTAATATATCTTGCGTACCTGACAAAGAAAAAGGACTAGACCAACGCCTGCTGTATGCTAATGCGTCAAACCAACAACAAACTTTTCTTCATGACTCGGGGCTCTTCAAGAACTGGATATAAGAGCATTGATAACATCCTTGAATAGCGCCGTTGCAGGCGGTAATGCAAAAGGCGGTGCACGGTCGAATATGTCCCCAAGATCTTCCAGTCTGGGTGTGGACGTCGTTGGTTGTTGATTGCTACGTGTCTGCTCCAACAGTTTTCGGCCGCCACGACCAAAGATATTGTCAAGGCCAGCGCCCGCGGCTGAAGATTGCTGTTCCGATGCCTCTGTCGACGCAGCCAGCGCTTGGATGTTTTGTTTGGGATGACTGAATCGCCAGAGGTTTGCCGCGCTATCAATGGCAATATAGCCTCCATTGTTCGGATCGGCAAGAAACTTAATTGGGGTCTTTTCCAATCCAGATTCGGTTAACAGAGTCATGGTCGAGGTGCTGTAAACGGCTATGCTGTAGGTTGTTCCGCGGCTGGGTTGACCAGCAGGATTCGCTGCCAGTGTCTTGGTCACAACGGCGAACGTATCTGTAGATGAATCGGCAGCCAATGCAATATTCTTGGAAGAGCCCGAGCTTGACGAGGCAGACTCGGCAGGTGTTTGTACCACATTATCGACCACGTTCCAGACGGCAAGAGACTGTTCAGACAGAATAACCAAATACCGACCCTGGAACTCGACACTTCGAATGCTATCAACAGAGAAAACTTGACGGCTAGAATACACAGACCATTGTCGAGTATCAACGAGATGAACTGCATTCTTCAAACCCACAGCAAGAATAGACCCATCCTCGGAAAAGGTTATTGAGCCGGTGGTAGCATCATGACTAGTATATGACAGGTCTATTGAGGTAGAATTCTTCCAGGTATGTTCCATTGTATTCGATCGAGGCTGTGATTTGGCAACAGTGTAACGAGCAGTGGGTTGCCATACTTTGATGGTAAGGTCCGAGCCAAGTGTGACAAATTCAGATCGATCCGATCGAGTCTTGAGAGAGAGAATCTGGACTGCTTCGCCGGATGCTGCCAAGTGAGGGGTCTCGACACGTGTTGTAAGTTCCCAAATTCCTTGCGCTTCACTCCAATGCCAAAACTTTAGAAACACTTCCTTACGCTTCTGTAACTGCGCGTCGTCGAGAAGTGGACCTAGAGATGCCTCGACGTCTTTCTGGGGCGGACTCCAGGAATCTATGGTAGCGAGCCACTGGCCGTTTCCACTTATTTCCATGAACTCCACATTGGGTGGTAGGATTGGTGTTCCTTCAGGTCCTTTGTGCAAATTCGTCACATTTGTTCGTGCAAGAGCTTGTCGGGAGACCTGTAATCCAGTCTGAATGTTGAACGTTTGGAGGAACGTAAGGCTTGACGAGTCACCGCTGGGACTTGCTAGGAGCAATTGCTCGGGTTGATGAGGATGAAGTATAGCAGGCAACCCTGCACCAAGACTGCGCTCAACGCCTCTGTCGTCGGCATCGTTAAATGCGTCGAGTGATGATGGAAGCTGTAGCCCGTCTATTGTAGCCAACGAATTTAACTCAGTTGCAGAAATCACTGTAATAGACCTGTCTGCTAGTTGAACTGCATATAAAGCTCCAATCGAGGAGAGTATGATGCTGCGGATAGGAGATGGTAAATGAGGCAAGAAATTGCGGCGTCCGGAATCTAGTTGCCAAAAGACCAAAACAGACTCTTTTCCTCCTGAAATGATGTAATTGCCTGATAGTTTGTTAGCCGTCTCTCAACCGCCTCTAACTACCTCGAACATCGTGAAGAAGGATGCACATACCATCACGTGACCATCGAAGAGAAGCGACGGCCTCACGGTGCCAATGCAACCGTTGAAGTAGAGGTAGACCAGATGTACCCTCACGGCCAATCGAACTCAAAACATCATTGTAAACCAGAATGACACCAGAAGCATCGCCAACAGCTATGTCAATTGACATAGTCGTATTCTTTCCGAGACCAGCAGCCTGCGGTTCTCGAACATCCAAGCAAGTAATGTGCTTGACTGGAAGCCTGTACTCTCTCCACTCATATTCGTTATACACGCCCTTCTCCTTAGACATCGGACTTAACGTTCCTATCATGAGATGCTGGCGAGCACAAGCAATAATAAACTGACCACCCTGAACGACCTTGAAATGAGTGATAGCATGCGCAGTGTCGAACACCACAGTTTCGCCAGCAGAGTCTTTTCTTTGAGTCCAATCCGTATTCACAGCAATATGGGAGCGAGCGCCCTTAGTCTTGATTGCAAAGTATGCCATGCGCTGTTGTTCCTCCTCTTGAACTTTGAGCGGAATGATCTCGAAGAGTGACACTTTGACAAAGTTTCCTCGGGCGGTGATTTCTCGACCTGCCTCCCAATCCCATTGTACGAGTTTACCGGAAAGAGTCGATATGTATAGGTGCTGAGGGTCCGATGGCACGAGCTGAAGTCCGGTGACGTGGGACGAGTCTTTCATCGTGAAACTCTTGACGGGTCGCTGCGTCGCCATTGAGTATACCTGAACAGCATCTCCGCGACTCAAGAAGAGATATCTAGATGATATAGTTAGTTATCGATTCTCTCTCTTTTCTTCTCTCACGAGAAACTCAAGGCAAAACGTACTTCTCATCAACTGAGAAAACTGGATCGATATTAAATATATTTCCTCTGAACATCAAGTCAAGAGACCATTCTGTCGATTTCTTGTTCTTCTTTTCCGACACAGCGACAACAGCATCGCCTTTAAGTGCATCGGTCTTGAGACGTTTGCTTCGGCCAGCCTTTGCATCTTGACCGGTATCTGCAGGCCGCTGTCGCTTGACTGTTTTTTCTGTTGGCGACATCTTTGCAGTTGACCGAGCGCAAAGAACGCAATCTGAAATAATGCTGTCAAGGTGCCGCCAGCTACTCAAGTCCGATCTTTGAATCTTTTTTCGATAAAAAATAAAAGTGGGGATCTCAGAAGTCCTGGACTAGCGTCTTGGCGCGAATGGAGCCAATGAAAATGCCGCCCAGCTACTTTTCTTCACTTCCTCTTCTTTGCAGTTTGCACTTCCAAGACAAGACTTACCCTCACATACCATAGCTGTCGCCCGTCAAGACAAGAATCGGCATACAAAATGATTATCCCTGTCCGTTGTTTTTCTTGCGGCAAGGTACGACTTTTGCCCTCCGTCTCATCACTAGCAAAAATCTGACAAGTTCTAGGTTGTCGGCGATCTTTGGGAGCGATACCTGCAACTTCTCGACGACGGTGTTCCCGATGGGTAAGATGCGGTCGCTTAAGTATGCGCTTTGCGATCGTTTGCTGACTGTTTATAGTGATGCTATGGATCAACTTGGTTGCAAGCGCTACTGCTGCCGAAGAATGGTCATGACACACGTGGATTTGATTGAGAAACTTTTGCGGTAAATGCAATCTACGCTACCAACAGCGAGACGACATGCTAATTTACTTCAATAGATACAACTCATCCGAACGAGAGAAGGCCAAGACTCAGGCCTAAGTCAAGACGCGCGCTGTTACGAATTAACGAACTCGAATGTAATATATGCAATGGTTCTTTAGAATGGATTGATTATTTGGTCTACTATATTTTCATCATACTTTTGGACTCAAACAAATCAAGAAAGATGCCTTTTTGCCATGCATGTGGCTCAAGTATGCATCCAGCTCGTCATCCTCTTCGATCAAAAGCAACACTTCGCCGCCTCTTTCGTCCTTTTCAACGCCCTCGACCCTCGTCACAATGGAATCGGGATATTTTGCTTGGACTAGATTTTGCAGCTCCAAAAGAGACGTCGAGCTTATTTTGCCAATCCACGTCCTAGATGCGGTGTGGGTTTGACTTTGCGGACTGATGCGGAAATAAACGGGTATCGATGGGTTCTGGAGTAAGGTGTCGACATAGGTGAAGGCTGGGTCGCTATTTTGTTGGAGCGCTCGAGCAAGTGATGTGTCGTTTGCCGCTTGGAGTAAGGATGGGTCTATTTGCATTTCACCAAGATCGTTTGATGCCATGGATGCACTCGCAAGCGCTTCGGACGCCAGATTGCTGATTCCATGAGTATATGCATTGGAGGCCACGTTTTCTGTATTGTTGTGATTTCGTGCTTTGGCTTGTTTGGAGCTAGAAATTCGTTTCTTTAATGGATCTCGCTTGGCTTGGTCATCTCGAAGGCGTTTCATGACATCGCGACACAGTACCTCAATGGCCTTGACCTTGGTGTTGTGATTAGGATCTGAGAGACCGGGCGCTAGAATCCGTTGCAATAACTCTGACCCCTGAATCCATTGCTGCTTGAGTTCATTCCAATGTTCATCTCCTGCTTCCAGCTTGCTAGTAAAATGGTCGGCTTTCAAAGTACTATAAAATGCATGTCGAATCTGCCGACTCTCTTCTGGGTTTATTCCTAATGCGTTCTTGGCCTCTGCAATGGTCATTCGACTCTCCAAAGTTCGCATGCGTTTGGTGACATCAGTACAGACCACGTCTAACGCAAGATTCTTTGCCTCTAGTTGAGTATCGTCCGGCATGCTGGGATCTACATAAAATACGCTTCTCAGGTGCGGTGATTCACGTATTAACCTATTTTTGGCATCCTGCCATCGTTCCGGGCCGGCAATCGTTTTCTTTAGAAAACCAGCCTCATGACATATTCTTTGAAACTCGTCGCGTATTTGACGATACATTGCAGCGTCCAGTTTGAGATACTGTTTGCTCTCATCGAGAGTGGTCTCCGAGGGAAAACGCGGTGGTCCTGGCGGATCAGCTGGCAAGCCTGCCCAGCCGCGAGTTCGACGACGCCGCTTTTTCGTTGCCCATCGCTCAGCACTCTCAGCTTGTAATCGCTCGAGGCGTTCCTTTCTTTTAGCAAGTACCTCCGGTGACAAGCTTGGTGAGAAAGATGATAACACAGATGGTTGCTCAGGTAGTGGTTGATTGTCGTCGCCAGGAAAATCGTCATGACCGTTGTACATCTCATGCTGTAATGCAAGCACCCCTTCTTCTACGGACGTCTCGATTGGCGACTGGATTGTTGTCTGCGATTTCATACCGTTGGGGACTCGGAGAAGCCATCGATTTTTGGCGCGAACACGCATGAGCTCTCTTTCTTTGATGTCGTAACCCTCATCGTTCAAAATCGTCAACATATCCCGTTGACACACATTCCGCTCCCATAGTTCCTTGACCCGAGCGACGAGTTGTGTGTTTTTATGAGCGGGGTTCTGTTTCGAAGGGAACCCCCATCGTTTGAATTGTGTTTGAAAGGCGCGTTTACTTAGACATAAGGATTAGCTTTAGATCTTCCATTCCCATGAGATTCAATTGAACGCTTCCGGCTTGTTCTCACCTCGGAGCGAATTGATATGTATTCTTCATGTACTCCATAATCTCGTCCAAGCCCTTCTTGTCGACAATGTACATTTGATAGCATAGCTCTCGCTTCCCTTCCCATTCGTATACCATCTTGTCTTGTAGCAGCCAATTGCTGCGAGAAACGAATTGGAGAAGGAAATTGCCGAGACAGCATCAAGTACGTCTCGCGTATCACATATCTCGAGCACTGTCTGCAGGAAAATTCAGCATGGTAATAGCTTGACAGTAAATATCGTAATACGTAGCAAGTAGGGTAAATGTAGCAAGTATGGCGCTCCGTAGTGTTTGCGGAGGAGGAAGGAACGAGGGACAGCGACCAAAGATGCAACTTTCCCTTCTGTCTTGGCGCCAGTTGCCAGGGGCGTCACGTGCCCCATCCGGCCCAGACCGGCCGTTTATTTGTTTCCTCATTCCTACCTCTATACTCCGTAAGCACCACCAGACGCCGTTTGCAAGCGTTGCATCAACCCGTCTGAACTTTTTTATCTCTACTATCTAGTCCACAAGATCGAACACTTAGCACTGTAAGTTATTTTCAAATACTACGTACGTACAGACAGTAAGCACGACTAAAGCGCGAAGTTGATTACCCCTTCGCGACTAGTGGCGTTGGCTGCGCGCTTCGGCCGGGCCTATCGATAGGAGGGACGGAGTACGACGGCATCCCTTCCCTGATTACCTCAGTTTCTGCTACCACCGTACGATGGTCTCTCCTCGACGCTTCAGAGACAATAGACCAGGCATGCACACAGCAACCAAGTGATGATGCACCGTTCTGGGAAGCGCCGACTTCAGTATTGATACATGAGAAGGAATTTTATTGCTCCTATTACTACTGATAACCACTGCTTGTAATGTCCGCAAACACAGCTCACAAGTCATGGCGGGATCACCATTCTGGAAAGTCATCTCCTGACTCCTACAGGTATTCGTCCAGTCTGAGTTCCCAAGTTGCGCTCGATACGCCGAGTACAGAGCCCGCGACCCCGGCAGAGGTCCCTCTCCTTGTCCTGCCGAAACGCCGCAGTCACCAGCATGCAGCAAAGACCAGCGCGAAACCGGCGCATATACGAAAGGCGTCGCGTGATGAACGGTCCTCGACGTCCATCGATCTGTCACGATCCTCCATTGAGCTCGAGGGGCTGGGAATCTACACAAATCTAGAACGAGACATGAGGTTTCAACAGAATCGGCATAGTGTGTCGAACCTTCACCGATCAATCAGTGAAATCTCACCTTCGCCAAGCATAAGCAGACTGGGTCAATCTTATGTGCATCCACGACGGCAATTACCCACACCAAGTAGCCCGCTTGGGATGCCTCAGCGTCACTCTGTGGATGGAGGATACTTTTCGACCGTGAACCGGAGTCTGACGGGAATCACAAGTCCAACGCTTTCCATCCCAGACGACGAGCACGAAGATAATGATAGCAATTCTTTCGATGAAGCAGACACACCAACCACAACATCTCTGGAACTAAGACGTTCTACACCAATAATACTCCAAAGAGCGCAAACCGACACAGCGCTTAGCAGAGCCTCCTCATGGAAGGAATCCGAATTTCTATCGTCAGCTGAGTTGACATCTCATGCAGCCGCTGTGCGAGCTGCCCGGATCGCCTTTGCAGAGAAAGAAGCTTCCAAGGCGCGGAAGCTCGAGGAACAGCAGAAGAAGAAGACGCAGGTACGTGATGAACGTCGACACCAACGATCAGTCAGCCACATGGTGAAAACAAGACCGATTTCTACTGCCGGTGACGAAGAGCGACATCGGCGCACAATCAGCGAGGCATATATCCAAACCAACCGCAACGGACACCAACACCCACGAGAGTCCTACATAGACCTGGAAGAAGACATGGCCCCGGATCGAGTTACGTCCATTCCATCCCTCGCAGGCAGACCAACGACAACACCAGCATCTGCCCTGGGCCCGCCGAAACTGCCCGAAGCAACAAAACACAACTGGAACAAATTCCTTACATGGGGGAAAACTCGCTACTACAAAGCAAAGAGAAAGGTATCCGTGCCTGTATCGACTTTTAGGTGAATTCGCCTACGTACCTGGAGTACAGATAACGCAAGGGTCGAACTGTGCATGCTGGACGGTGAAACAGCACGTACGTACATGAGAAGAATTGTTTGTATATAAGCGATGATGATAGCGTTTTAGCATGCATTCTGGGGATTTGATGTATATAGTCCCGCGAGCCGAGCAATTGCATTCTCAGTCTTTCAATTCTGTGCTTGTAGACTCACTCTTGTACAAGACGTGGGTATTCATTTGGTAGATATCAATGTATATTCATCTTCTAGCTATGTGCAACTACCACGGCTTAATCTCTCCTGCAGCCGGCGGTTCAACTCTGACTGTTTTATCACAGTTGAGTAGACATAACGGATCCAGCGCAAATTTCAACTTTAATCACGTTAGTGCTTGACGCCAAAAAGGGAGAAATGTGAAGTTACTAACCTTGCGCATGACATCAACTGTCGTCTCGCCAAGCTCATGAGGCAGATAGTCCCTCTTGATAAGTCCGACGCCATGTTCGCCAGTAACAGTGCCCTCCATCTCGACTGCGTTTACGACCATGCGATGCACGACTTCTTCGGCAAGAGCTTTCTGTTGATCGTTAAAGAGAATGATTGCTTCGACAGATTAGCATTCGTGAGATAGAACGAAGGGAATAGGCTCACCATGAAAGTTGCCATCACCCACATGACCGCAAATACCAGCTAGTAACCCACTCTCTGTCAAGTCCTTTTTCGTCCTTTCAACGATATCCGGTAACCTGCTGATTGGTACTGCGACATCCGTGGTCCACACTTGGTCGCTTGGATCTCTCTTCATAGCTATGACGCTCCAAAGAGCGGCTTTGCGCGCACTCCAGAGCTCCTTCATTTCTGCGTCGTCGCGGGCGAACTCGAAAGTCTTGCCGCCGGTAGACTTGGATAGCTTTTGGACTATACCAATCTGTTCTTTCACACCGGACGGAGTACCAGAAAATCTAAAGAATAAGGTCGGTGCCTCGGTCCATTCACGCCTGGTCGTCTTGCTGGCATTGATACATTGCATCTGCACATCGTCCAAGATCTCGAGACCGGCAACTTGAATGCCCTCTTCGACAACCCTTCGCGCGCAATCGGCGGCGTGTTGGACGGATGGGAAACTGGCCACGGCCACACTTTCGCTCTTGGGCTTCACGGTCAATTTCAAAGTTGCTTCCGTCACGAGGCCGAGGGTACCTTCACTTCCGATAAAGAGTTTGGTGAGATCGTATCCGGCACTGGACTTCTTGGGTCGTTGTCTTGTCTTGATCACTGTTCCATCTGCAAGGACGACTGTGAGAGAAACGACCCATTCCCGCATGGTTCCGTAACGGTATGCATTCGTGCCCGAACAGCCTGTGCCAACCATACCTCCAATCATAGCTCCTGGACCGGGATCGGGAGGGAAGAAAAGCCCTTCTTTGGCGATCTCTTCGTTTAACTCTTCCCAGCCCACGGCTGGCTGTACTACAACATCGAGATCCTCCTTGTGGAAAGACAGAATTTGGTTCATGCGTCGGAAGTCAACGCACACGCCGCCTCTAGTCGGAGCATAATGGCCTTCAAGACTTGTGCCGCCTGAATACGGTGTCACGGGGATCACTCGCTCATGACATACTTTCATAATCCGCGAGACCTCCTCTGTTGTTTCGGGATAGACGACAATGAATGGTTTCTCGCTGGGCTTTTGTGAATAGGTAGAAAACTCGGAGCCCGAGTGAGACTCTAGGTCGAAGTCGTCGGTAGATACATTTTCCTTGCCGAGTATATTGACAAAGTCGGCCCAGGCAGCTTGTAGGTTTGCGGGGGTGGTGTTGTGTTTGACAGGTTGCGTTTCGGAGAGGGGGATCGTCGAGGATGTAGGGGGGGTGGAGGGTTTGAGTGATCCGAGACAGTATCCGCCAGTAGTGAAGAATACGAGTACTTTTGCGGCAATTAGTCAGTATGGTTTCGTATAGTTTGATGAACGGAGATATGCACCAAACATTAACGCTGCATATCTGGAGCCCGGAGTTTGAGTCTGATACTGCGAAAAGCGCTCCTGCTCTGCGCGCTCTCGTTTCAAACGTTGTTGTGTGCTCTCATACAATTGGCCTTTGAACGACGGCCTGGGTTCTTCCTGGAGTTGTCGCGTGGCTGACAGTTGACGGCGAAACGGCAATGTTGATGATGCTGCATGCTCGGCCAGCAGCGGCTGGCGGAGGCATCGTGCCACTGGGTGTGCTCGAAGGACCGCTCGCCTCATGGTGATAATAATGATGATGATGAGATTAAAGATATCTCGGCGAGGAGGTTGTAGAAGTCAATATCAGAGAAGTTCTCGGTCGAGAAGATATTCGTGATCGGCTTGGCGGCTGCATTGGGCTTAGCCGAGTGCGTCATTCTCACCATCTTTCTCTAATAATACTCTCTAAACTAGCTCTATAATATACGAGATATACACATCAATGGGAACACCATACTGTACAGTCAGTTCTATCAGACTAGCAGGAAGTGTCAAAACACACGGCCATGAACAACCATACACGGAAGGTCAGCCGGACTCCTGGATATACTACACTCGTCTGCAAAGTATAGCACCGGCTAAATCCCCGTCTCCGTAATTGCTGCGTAACGCCGCGGATAATATGCCCAACCCAGCTGGCAGCAGCACGGTTAAATAGACACAGCGTCCAGTTCGGTGAAGGTTCTATCTCTGTGTCTAGAAGCGCAAAGTCTGGATCCGTGAGACGCTATCTATCCACTTAGTGCTTTGCCAGGTGGTTGAGAGCAAAAGTTGAGCTGTTCGCCTTCCCCGCATGCCTATGAGGGGATCCAATTGATCCAGTTATTCAGGCGAGACAACTCAGTGAACATACGCATGACCTGAAAATTTACTACTAGCATCAATTGATATTTTTTTTTAATCTCTTCTCTCCTCTACTCTGTGATCTCTTCGCAACTACTTTCTCTAACAAGCACACGCAATGTCTCTCACAGATACCAAGGCAAGTCCCTTGCTCGTCAACTGGGGTATATACTAACATTCACAGAACCTCTCCTTCGTCCTCGAAGGCATCAAAAAGGTCAAATTCGAGGAACGCCCAATCCCCGAAATCAGTGACCCCTACGATGTCCTCATCAACGTCAAATACACTGGAATCTGTGGCAGTGACGTAAGTCATCAGCGCCTCGGTAGAGCAGTGAACACCGCTAACTAAGTGTGAAGGTGCACTACTGGGAACACGGCGCAATCGGCTCCTTCGTCGTGCGCGCACCCATGGTCCTCGGCCACGAATCCTCTGGCATCGTAAGCAAAGTCGGCTCAAAAGTGACCACCCTCAAAGTCGGCGACCAGGTTGCCATGGAACCTGGTGTCCCGTGTCGACGATGCGAACCGTGCAAATCCGGCAAATATCATTTGTGCATCAACATGGCCTTTGCCGCTACGCCGCCTTATGATGGCACGCTGGCTAGATACTATAGACTGCCGGAGGACTTTTGCTACAAGTTGCCCGAATCGATCCCGCTCAAGGAAGGTGCGTTGATTGAACCGTTGGGTGTTGCGGTCCATGTTGCGAAGCAGGGCAATATCGCACCTGGAAACTCAGTCGTTGTATTCGGTGCTGGTCCAGTTGGTCTGTTGTGCTGTGCAGTCGCAAAGGCGTTCGGCGCAAGCAAGGTCATTGTTAGCGATATTCAACAGACCAGATTGGATTTCGCAAAGAAGTACATTGCGGATGGCACCTTCCAACCTGCCAGAGTATCCGCAGAGGAGAACGCAAACCGCCTCAAGGAAGAGCACGACATCCTTGCCGGCGCAGACGTTGTACTGGAAGCATCTGGTGCCGAGCCCGCTATTCACACCGGTGTCCACGTCCTCAGGACCGGCGGCACATTCGTGCAGGCTGGTATGGGCAAGTCAGAGATGAACTTTCCCATCATGGCGGTCTGTGGCAAAGAGTTGAACTTCAAGGGCAGTTTCCGATATGGAAGCGGAGACTACAAGCTTGCTGTTGAGCTGGTGGCTACCGGCAAGATTAGTGTCAAGGAGTTGATCACGGGCGAGTTCAAGTTTGAAGACGCTGAGCAGGCGTATCACGATGTCAAGGCGGGCAAGGGTATCAAGACCATTATTGCGGGACTTGACTAGCCTACTTAGAGATTATACGTATATATTTGTTCAAGGTGTTGATTAGCGGTAGAATAGTAATAGAATCTCCAAAAGCAGACGACAAAGTAAACCAACTGTGAAGGGGTATATGACAAAATAAAATGAACGAACGTGTGTAAACGCTGAAAAACAGGCAGCCCAGCCAACTGAGTGAACGATCAACAACACCCCCCTCGAGTAGAACCCTGTATCCGGAACACGTCTCCCCATTCTCCCCAAGAATTATTATTTCGCTTCCCGCCCCTCTTCCTCCTACCGTGAAGTTGACTATTGCTATCGTCAACAGTCAACCCACTCCTTACGCTTGCTGCATCACTCATCGTCATCCCCCACGCACCGGAATCACCATACTGAATCCCACTCTGCGGATCATCCGGATCAATCTCACCGAGCTCAATCTTGGTAAGTATGATCCTCGCAAGACGCGTAAACAGCTCATCGACATTCTGGCCCGAGAATGCGGAAACTTCAACGGCGACGGGGATGTTGGACCGAGTCGCCCATTCGATAGCCTCGAGGTCACTGACCTGGCGACCATGCGAGTTTGTTGTTGCCGTTAGCCTCGTTCCAGCTGCGAAATTCGTGCTTGTCACGGAGCGTAAGGAGCCTGCTCCTCCCTTTCCGCCAACACCATCAAACATGTACGAGGACGAAATCTTGCTGCTCGATACACTATTCGCCATTGACGTTGACGACGGCACGTCCTCGTCTTCCGTGTCCAGAATCTCAGTCTGATCATCATCTACCAATAAATCTGCCTTGTTTCCGGCCAATATAGTCGTCAAATTCGGCGACGCCAACGCCCTCGCATCCATCAAAAAGGTCGACAGCGCCGCGAAGGAAGTATAAGACGAAACATCGTACACTAACACCGCCCCCGCAGCTCCCCGATAATAAGATCGCGACACCGAGCGAAATCGTTCTGTGCCCGCGGTGTCCCAGAGTTGCAGTTTGATGCGTTTGCGCCGCGAGCCGGTGCCGATTTTGACGATTTTAGAGGAGAATTCGACGCCGATTGTTTGCGAGGAAAGAACGCGCCCTTATCCGTTAGCACAGGTCGTGTAATTTGCAAATCGAGGGGCACGTACATTCATCCTTGACGAAGCGATGGAGTAAACATGACCTGTTATCGTCAGCATACACTCAGTATGTTGATTGCAGTAATGAGTAACGTACTTGCCAGTCCCACTGGGTCCGATCAGAATCACTTTTGCCAAGTAGTCGTACATACTCTCAAGCTCCTGCTCAGACTATGAGTTGGTGGAACGTCAATCCGAAGCACGTGCATTACTGACCTGAGTCCGGTCCAGGGAGGACGTTGAGGAAGCGTTGGAATGTTTCCTGTGACGAGGCATTGCGTGTCATTCTGTAATTCAGCCGGTATAAGTGTACTACGTAGCGTGTTCTGTTTGAGAGAATGAGTCTAGTTCAAAGTAAGTAGTATTCTGAAGAGGGTTGATAAATAGTTGGTCTAGTAAATAAAGAGGATAGCCCGCCTTGCGCCGAGGTGGTTACGTATCTAGCTAAGGTGGGGCATGACTGAGAAGCAACAACTCATGAATCTACCTGGTACAGTTTCTAATTTCTTACAAGTGTTTAAACAGAAACCTCTCCCGCTCAAACTTGACTTCGACATCCACACCCCCGAACACGCCCATAGCAGCATAAAGATCAAAATCTCCTTCTAGGCCATACACACCGTTAGCCTCCGAATCCAATTCCTCATGCAAATCCCAACCTCCGACTTCAGCACCACCCCTCGTGAAGAACACTCTCACATCCGGTTTTTGCTGCTGCGCAGCAGGTAGACCGAACCTCATACCAATCCCAACAGTCTCACCCGTCCGGAATGCAGTCGTAAACTCCTTCCCGCCGAAATTGTCATTCACGAACCTACATCCATCATCAGAAAAGACTCCAACGCTCGCTCGATCCCAACCCGGCGAGCGCCATGAAGGGTACGGCTGGGCTACAAGCCCTAGCGAAAAGCCGCTTGCGTCGTCGCCAAAAGGTCGACGATGGAATTTGTTGATCGTGACTTCGAAGTAGATTGTTTTGACCCGTTCCGTCACCATGGGCGAGTCGCGCATGGCGTAATATAATGGTAAGAGGGAGATGATGCTACAGTCGCGACAGTTTTTGTCGCTGCGGATGCGCCAGTGGCCGCGGCCGAGGGTGTCGAGAGTGCCACGGTATTCGATGGGTTGGCCGGGACGAATGTCGCCGTCTTGAGTGCTTGTGTAGATTGGTTCCGAGGGCTTTCCATATGTGAGCTTTCTAACCTAGATCTGTAGACATGTAGACATAGAACATACCCTAACAGGCCTCCATAATGGCCTCTCATTGCAAAACTCCTTTGCGCGATCTGTATCACTCATCAGCAAATCATTAAATTATTAAAACTTCCACGGCGCGGGTGAACAACCAGCATCATCACCCGAGGCGTTCCCCGTCTCGGACTCGAATCTCGACATCGCCGGCGGCGGCGGTAGCGTCGCTGTGTCAGGCACTTGTTCTTGCCAGTTGTGATATGGAGGGGGGTTATCGCAGGCCTCATCCTGCTGTTGAGGCGTCCAGCCTGGTGGTGGACCTGGGGGTGGTCTGTACATTTCTTCTTGCTGCTGCGGAGTCCAGCCTGGTGGTGGGCCTGGAGGTGGTCTATACATTCTGATAATCTTTGATTTCAAGAGTAATGTGTCATTGTAGAGAAATAAGATTCATGAAAGGGTAGACAATGAATGACGTACAAGTAGGCAGGCGTTGATGGTGCGCAACCTAGATTTCGAGATGATGCCTGCGTATCCAGACAAAGGTCTTGTTGTGGCTGTGCAAGTGCTGGCCCAAATACGCTCATACAATTAATTACGAAATACTATGATTATCTTTAAGGAGGGATTCAATAGTAGAAACAGATCTTGATGTAAGGCTTACTGCAGTTCAATTTGATAGCCGAAACTTGGCAACTTCCGATACAATATACTAATTCACTGAAGCCCGAAAAACAATCTGCACTCATTCTGATGTTGACCCCAAATCCCCCAAATCCTCCAAAGTGTTTCCTAAATCACCTTGATAGAAACCCTAGACAAGTCTCACCGCAAGTCTGGGGTAATAAGTCCTGTGTATTATGGTTTAACATTGACCAGTCATTGTTCCACCATTCAACGTGCTAGTATTATCGCACGAAGGATAAAAGTATGCTGATACAGCGATAATAACATACGCCGCAATAAGCAAGGCACCTTCCAGGTAGTTACTGCGGCCGTCCAGCATGAGATAGTTGACAATGAAAGCAGACGCAAACAGAGAGACCGTCTCAAACAAACTGAAGTAGAGCGACATCTCGGTGTCCAGAATCCAGCCGAGGAGGACAATGACCGGCGTGACGAACAGCGCAATTTGAATGCTACTACCCAGAGCAACACCGATAGCAAGATCCATTTTATTCTTGCTGGCGACTGTAACCGCAGTGACGTGCTCGGCAGCGTTACCGACAATTGGAAGAATGATCAAACCAATGAATGCCTGGCTGACTCCAGTGGTGCTAACCAAATAGTCAATAGAGTCCACGAGGAATTCAGCACAGACTGCAACAAGAGCAGTGGTGACAAGAAGAAGAATAATGGCCGTAAGACGGTCCAGCTTTGGCTTCTCTTCAGGGTCGTCCTTGACCTCAACAACCCTCTTTTTCGAGACAAGATGCGGGAGAGGCTGAGCGGAAGGGATGGCTGTAGCAACAGCAACTGCTGCTGGACCCGGTAAAGTCTTGTTTAGACGATCTGGCAAAGAACTAGTACGACGGAGACGATTGCTACCGCCAACTCCAGGCGCTGAAGTTGCTGAAGGACCAGGTTGTGCCTGTGATGAACTGAACACATTTGGCGTCAGCACACGTGGCAGGGCCGGTTTGTATGAGATATTGCGTATATTGAATGGTCGCTTCTGAGCAGCGCCATCTGCTTCACCTCCCAGAGGAGGAGCAGGTGTGCCTTCTTCAATGATATCCTCTTCAGAGTTCCGACGCTTTTGATCCTTGGATCGAATGTATCGTGAGCTCTTTCGCTTTTTGTCTTCCGTTGGGCGACTCTTTTGATCGACGGTGAAGTCGCGTGTCGTCACCTCACCGGAAGATTCTGTACTTAACTGCGGACGTTCTTGCTCTGTAGTAACTGCATCATGACCACTGCGTTTGGCATTAGGAGAATGCGTCGAAACGTCGTCAATTACCTGAGATCCGGAAGATGCAGTGCGCACGAATGACGGCAAAGATGGAACCGAGGCGGTATCCTTGGAGGCAGAGCTAGACTTGCGTCTACGCTTTTTGCGGAGAGCTCGTCTGATCCTCTTGACAGTCGTGTGTGATCCTGAGCTCGCATCGCTGTCATCATCACTGGATGACTCGGAGCTTGAAGACGAATTAAGTATATCTGCAAGTACACCAGGATGCGACTCTTCGTCAATGACATGCTGAGGAGTACTTTCGTAGATGTATGAGTGAGATTTCAATTGGAAAAGGAGATACAGGATGTAGACCAAGAGAAGGACCTGCTGTGGTTAGTGAATGTATGATAGTACTAGGATCAGATACTTACCACACTTGTACCTCGGCTGACCTTCAGGACAGCGGCATCTGCATTGGCAATAGTGCTAAAAGATGCATGAAAAGCAGTCTAAATTGTCAGACAAGACCATGAATATACGAGAGATGACTTACAGGTAAAAGTAGACTGATCACACTCAAACTCAATAGACATGCGCTCATTTGCGTAACAGCCGAATTGTACAGCTGTTCGCGGAAGCGTAGACCTCCAAAAAGGAAACACATGCCGAGAATGAGCAGCAGATTAGCCAGAATCGAGCCGAGCAGAGAAGCCTGCACGATGGCGATTTCATCTGCCACCAAGGCGATAATAAAGATGATGAGTTCGACGGCGTTTCCAAAGGTGACATTCAACAGAGCACCGATGGTATCCCCCATATCCGCAGCGACACATTCGGTCGCGTATCCGAGCATCCATGCCAAGGGGATAATGGCAACGGCGTTGAGTGAGAACACCACGGTAGGCGAAATAGGTCCATCATCTCCTGTCGAACGTTGCACTGCGCCCAAGGCGATACCCACGGGGACAAAGAGGAGGAACCAGTTGACCCAGCTTGATAGTATGATGAGCTTGACGGAGGTCCAGGCCTTGTTAAAGAAACCAGGCTTGAGCGCATCGGAATCTAGGGCGGATGTCTTCTCTCCATCGTGGGTATCCACGGGAGTCGCTCCAGTCGCGGAAGTATCGTAGGTGACATGCTGGGAGTGTTGTTGTTGAGCTGGTCCAGGTCCAATTGGACCAGCAGACGGGTGTAGGCCATCTTGATTCTTGGATTGTTGGTTGGTTATAGGTAGAATGGAAGTATCATGACGCGAGTTGGTGCCATGAGGGAGGACGTTGGTGACATAAGAGTGTATTCGATCCCTTATACCGAGACGGTCTATAGGTGGTTCGTCAGGTTCGTTCATCGATGTCGATGCAGTAGCGACACCAGTAGCCGGGGATGTGTTGGAATCCAGAGTGAGATAATAGTTGAGGAAAAAGAAAAGAGGCTTGGTCGAAGTGAAAATATCACACGAGGAAAAACAAAACAAGGGCAGGAACAGGAAAGGAAGGGCAGGTCGAGATAAAGAAGGGGCATTCTTATGTAGGCAGGTACGTACTATAGTTACAAACTACGTACTTTCCCAACTTTAACGATACCTTACGTATTGTTACATAGTACGTATTAAATGGGTTGTTCCGACGCAGCGTCAGTGGCGGTGCGATAGCGATGGATTCGTGTCACGTATTTACGGTCACCACCGCGAGCGCTAGTCCCGATGGGGGAATCGGCTAATCCAATCTGATCCGTCGCAGAGCTGCGATTGGCCGGAGATTTTAGGGCCGCCCCGATGAAGCTGTTAGGCTGAGTTGGCGGGTCTGGGCAGTGTTTCGTTTCTTGAATTCATGATTTAATGATTCATGAATTGACGAGAGCACGCCAATCAGCCACGCGATAACATGATAACAGTTGCGTAACGAGCATACGGACAATCCCTGTTGGGTACTCTGTCTGGCCGTTGCGTGGAATGCTGCATGTCAAGTACGCGACATAGCTTCGCGCTGTGTTTGCGTTATACTGCTTGAAGCAAGAGGTCATGTGTCCTAAACCTAGCATGATTCATTTGTTAGCAACGAATGCGCTGCATCAACTGCGTCACGTTTCCCGCTCCAGACTCCGCCAAGCCAGCCAAGATCCAGCCAAGACCCAGCCAAGTCCCGCCTATGCACAATGGCATAACACAAGCGCATTCAACCAATCAGAGAGCACCACAGATATATGCGAGCCCTGATTGGCCAGCCACTGGTGGCCTTATCAGGAAGGCTTCCAGGCTCGCCAAGAATGCTCTGTGTTTATGTCAGCAAACGTCCAGCCAATCGCAACATCTTGTGTGATTGGCCAGGTTTCGAGGCTGCATCGCGACTGAGACAGCCCATCCCACTACCGCTGATATCATCGCTGGATTGTCCTGCTTGATCTGCCCTTAACGTGTCTGTCTAGAACCGGCAGATCGTATCGGAGGGACACATTATACTCAAACCAGCCTAGTCGATATATCGAGGGAATCGACTAGCCAGCATGACTGAGACATGCACAGAGGAGAAGAAACATCTGTGCTATGTAAATTGAAATTCCATAAGATGATAGACATGAGTACGATTGACTTAAAGCCGTGGTTGCCCGATTGACAGAGCTGGGTGGGCTCCTGCTGTATTTATCCTTGCCAATCCAGGAATCTCTCTTCGTCTTCTACTTCTCACGCCTCACTCAATTGTTTTGTAAATCCGACACCACTCGCAATGGCGGAAGTCTCCCAACCCAGGCGCTCAAGAAGGTTTTCCTTCACCTCACGACGTCCTCAGAGTGCAGTCGTCACAGAAGAGATCAAATCGCAGCCACCAGTAACCACCATCGGCTTCCCAATTGATGCCCTACCGCTAAACTCCGAGACTCAGCAAGAGCGTCCGACGTCATCATGGAGAAACGCCTTCAGACGCTCTCAGTCTGTTGACCGGACCAACAGCAGAGCCCCGTCTGCAGATCGTCGAAGTTCGCGCCGTCTAGTCAAGAAGCAGCCCGGAAATGGATCGCGCAGAGATACGAGCGTATCGTCACAGACCCCGACATTGCCCAATGTACCTCTACTATCGAATATCTCCACGCACATTCAAAGTCGGCGTGGAAGTGGGTCGAATGACGCTAGAGACGAGGGAGTTGTGCCATATGCGAACCAACAGACTGCGCCAACCCAGCAATATGGCTTCGATAGAATTCGGAGTACCACAACGGCAAACACGCAGACAGAAAAACCAAAGAATGATCCTGCTCTGAAAGATCTCCCCCCGGCACCAGCGACCCCTATACTTCGAAGAGTTGGTAGTCCATTCTATCATACAGCTGCTGATAAATCTGCCATGTCATTTAACCACGCGGCTCCTACCGTGGGTGTAGAGAAGAGACAAGGTAGTATGGATACTACCCAAGATGATGATATGATCCCTGCATCTCTACGAGTTGGCCGGTCGAAGACGGAGTCGGAGGGTCAGACTCGAGACAGGGCATCATCACCCATGCAGGAAAAATCGACCTATCACAGTTTGCCTCGGTACAGTCCTTCAGATGTTCCCGCACAACAGGCGAATTACGACAGTATCACGTCTCTCATGGAGGCGGTAACCTTTCCAGAGACACCAAATGCGCCTGAGCAAACTTATCCAAGTGCAGTCGAGTCGGTCAACAAGCGCGATGAACGAATCAAGAATCTACGCCCATTGAAGACAATGTCTCCTCGTCCACACCATGAAAAAACACCATCGTCGTCATCATCATCATCTTATGGATCATCCACATTCTCAGCATTGGGCGAACCAGCAACGCCTATCAGCTCGAATGCCTCTACCACCAATTTTGAAACGACATCCATCAGCACTACAAGCAATACCAGCAAAAAGGAAATTCCCCGCAACACAATGTCTCCTAAACACGACAAATATCTGGCCAAGATATTTGTCGTCTGCTGCCATTGCAATTACTGGCACGATGTACCGTCCGGCATGTACGCACAGATGGTGATTCCAGAATGTCTATTATTTTCTGGACTGCCAGAGCCCTCCAGTTCACGATCCTCCAGATCCTCTAGCCAGGCACGTTCGGCAAAATCGTCAGGCTCAAAGCCGCAGTCCATATTCTCCGAGACATCGTCCTCTTCAGGTCCGTCGTCGTCACCCAAGGCTACCGTCAAGTGTTCGTGGTGTAAGCATGAGATGGCCAAATCGTGCTGTGCTAGTTGGACCACGATGGTTCATTTGATTGAGAAGCATCATTAGTTTGGATTTTTCCTGCATTCCCCTTTCTGCCCTTGTTTCATGTTACTGTACTTTTGGCTCTTGTTTCCGACTGAACGACTGTCTATATGAAACAGCAACGAATAACGAATCACGACATGATAATGATAGATGGATAACAAAGAGTCTGATAAAAAAGGTGATGTACTCTCAGGAGATGTTCATTAGCTACCTAATTATAATGAAATTAATTCATGGCCTATAATATACAAAAACTGCCCTAGTAGATTTGAAGTCAAGCAACAGCATAACAAGCAACCCTCAAACAATCCTCGACATCCTGTTTACGATATCCCGCCTTTTCGCCGAGACAGACTGCTTTATATATAAGTTCTTGAAATGGTCAGTAATCAGGAAACACTCCAGAAACTGTTATCGGGAAAAGAACAACTCACGACTCAGGAACATGTCCATATCAAATATGCGTGTAGGTTGTTTGGTGTTGCTGTCTGTATGCACTACCTTTGACGAGTCCTTTATCTCAGTGGGCACCGTCAAAGCTCCCAGAGACGGATCAATCACATCATCCCCCGTCGTCGCCGGATTCTTCTTTTCGTCAACATACTCTACCTGCCGACTTGAAGGAGAAGAAGAAGGAACATCATCCGGCAACGTCACAAAACTAGCCTGCGTATCAACCTGTATCCCCTGTTCGCGCAGATACCCCTCGACATCATTACTATCAAACCAGTCACCGGCCATCCCTCGCGCCGAGACGCATTCGTCGATAGAGGTGAACTCGTGCGGCGCGTCTGCTTGATGGAAGGGCCAAGGACCGATGAATTTTGAAACTGGGTACAGCTCTGTTGGTGAGGAGAAGGTCATTTCCGGGATGGGTTGTTGGTTGGGGCGCGGATAGTGAATGCCTGCGTTTCCGAGGGTGTATGCTGCTGCTGTGGATGCGCTGGTGGTTGTTGTGCTGGCAGTGGAGGAAGAGGAAGAGGATGTTATAACTTTATAGAATCGGTCTATTAATGCGTCTTTGTTCTTGAAACATAGCGAGAATCGGTATTTGCGGATTATATCTTTGGGGTCGGTGTTGGGGTCTGTGAGTATGCGGTAGGCGTGTTCGGCGCATTGTCTGCGTAGACGGCGCACGAATGAGGATTCGTTGAAGCTGTATGTTGATGGTGGGGGGATGGTGCTGTGTTGGAGCCATGAGGTTGTATTTGTGTCTGTGTTAGCAACGCCTTGAGGGAATGACCCCGCAAAGGAGGATGCGAGCTGGGTATTGGCGTTTCCTGCTAGTGTAGTAGGTGCTTGCTGCTGGACACTATCCAGACCATAACCTTGAAAGAGAGAATCAAAGTTCATAGACGATGCGTTGTCGGTGGATGTGTACAGAGTAAAATTGAATTCGTCCAGGTTATCAGTAATCTCCGGCGACTGATCGACGAAAAGCGCATCACCAACCTCTACCGAGGAAGAATTATTACTCGCAGTCTCATCTATGGGCGACGTGTTCGCAGAATCATACTCCTCATTTCTAGAAAGCTTCACGAGTGCATCTGATTTCTGCACAAGTCTTTGCAGACCATACGTCAAAGTGGTCTGCTGTAGCAATAGACCCGATCCCATTAACTCATCGCGGAAGCTTCCTACTGTTGTATTCATGTCTCGAATAGCAGCGTCGAGCTCAGCAAGTTTCTTGCTCAGAGATGAAATGGTGGCTTCTTTACGGGAGCGGTATGCCCGTTGAGCAAGTCGAATCTGAGTTCTTCGTCTCTGTGCAATAGCAAGATCAATACTTATACCAACAGAGGGCTGTGAGGGACAAACCTCGGCGGCATTCTCATCCTTGTCCAATACGCGAGGCCGACCTCGCTTCCTTTTGGATACTTTATTGTCATCTTCAGACTTGCGATTGCTATTTTTATTTGTGTTCCTTTTTGATTTGGGTTTCTCGTCTGTCGGCATCGTTATGGGCGTTGTAGTATCGTCGTCGTAAGGCAGCAATGTCAAACCACCATAGAGGGTACTGGCATGGACGGCTCTCTGTCGTTGGTCAAGTTGTGCTGGAATTGGATATGAGGAGGAGGATATCAAGTCAATTGGAGAGAGGGACAACGACATGATGAGAATCGTGATGGAGGGAATGTTTAGAAGAGGAGATGATTCAGCTGGAGATCCACTGATGCTCAGTCATTAAGTACTTATACGACTTGACAAATCAACGAGAATAAAGCAGCGATAGCCTCGGCATAGCTCTGTAGTCTCCTATTGGCGGTGTTCCCCAGGCTTACGTTACTTTCGGCGTTTGCGAGTAGGTGGTTAAAGCGGCGCAAAAACAAAGCGTGATGACAAATTACGAAAGATGACTCAGAACGCTGACTAAGAATGCAGCTTATATGCGAGAGGGTGAGTGTTATTCGCTTTACTGCCCTTTCCCGTTTTTTTTTTGGTTCTAGGGTTAGGGTTGGTATTGCATTCTTCTTTTTGCTACCCTATACTTGAGAAATACATAGCTGCACTCACTATATGCCGGCAGCTTGTAAGAAATCTTATATGAGCTGCTATGAAGCAAAGTATAGCCGCATATTGGTCGCGAGAAGGCAAGTTTGGCTGGCCTCAGTAGCCTAGAGATAAACATGTGACGCCTACGTCATTGGCCAATTGGTTATCTTTCAGGAACAGTTTACTTTCTTCTCACATCCTTTTGAAACTATCGTCGACAGATTCCCCTAGCATCTCTTGGCTTTATCTCTTATCACGTACTGGCAGTCAGTATTATCACTTGCTAGAACTCTTGGTAGTTCTCAACATGACATCCAAGTACACACATCTACCCCGCTCAGCCTCGAAGCCATTGGAATGCGGGCTTGAAGTGAGTATATACAACTGCCCTAGAATCAAAGGCAAATAGTTGACGTGGGACAGGGCCACGCCCTCCTTCATGACTCCTACTTCAACAAGGGATCAGCCTTTCCGTCGCAAGAGCGCCATGACTTTGGTCTGCACGGTCTACTACCGCCCAACATCCAGACACTGGACGAACAGGTGAAGCGCGCCTATGAACAGTACTCGAGCCAACCGGACGACCTGGCCAAGAACACTTTTATGGCGAGTATGAAGGCACAGAATGAAGTTTTGTATTATCGGGTACTGCTTCTCTTGTCGACATGTTAGAGTGCGTTGACTGATGGAGATCACCTGAGCAGCTCATCCAAGACCATCTGAAAGAAATGTTCAGTGTGATCTATACACCAACCGAAGGCGATGCTATCCAGAATTATTCCCGTATCTTTCGCAAACCAGAAGGCTGCTTTTTGAATATCCATGATGTTGATCGGATTGAGCATGATTTGAAACAGTTTACGGATAATGGGACGAACGAGGATGTAGATTATATTGTTGTGACGGATGGAGAGGAGGTTTGACAGGAATTTTTCATATCATGAAAGCTAACTGACAATCGACAGATTCTAGGCATTGGCGATCAAGGTGTAGGATCAGTCCTGATATCCGTCGCGAAACTTGTCTTGACGACTCTATGTGCCGGTATCCATCCAGCGAGACAACTCCCGGTAGTTCTTGATTGTGGGACGGATGTATGTGCCCCTTTTTATGTACTGGCCTCGCTAATTGAAGCAGAATGAAAGCCTTCTTAAAGACGAGCTGTATCTCGGCCTGCGCCATAACAGAGTCAGGGGCGAGGAATATGACCAATTCGTGGACCGCTTCGTCACAAGTGCAAGAAAGATTTTCCCTAATGCTTATATCCACTTGTAAGTAGAGCAGACCTGCACCCCATCTAGGCTAACGATTACAAGCGAAGACTTCGGTCTGAAGAACGCTAGACGACTGCTGGAAAAGTACCGCCCGCAAATTGCCTGCTTCAATGATGATGTCCAGGGCACAGGCTGCGTTACCCTTGCAGCCCTCATGGCCGGCTTGCACGTCAGCAAAGTCAGTCTAGGCGATGTCCGGATTGTCATTTTTGGGTCTGGTACTGCAGGTACCGGCATAGCCGATCAGATTAGAGATGCCATTGCTACCGAGAGCGGCAAGTCAAAGGAGGAGGCTGCTAAGCATATCTGGTAAGCCCTCGTTCCGTCTACTTTTAAACTTCTCTAATACAGTAAAGGTGCATCGACAAACCAGGTCTCCTGTTTAAATCCCACGAGGACAAACTAACACCAGCACAAATCCCCTACGCGCGCGAAGACTCGGAATGGGAAGMCCACGTCCAAGCCGATCTGTATAATGTGATTAGAAAAGTCCAACCGCACGTGTTGATCGGGACATCGACCAGACCAAAGGCCTTCACGGAAGACATCATCAGAGAAATGGCTAAACACGTTGATCGGCCTATTGTGTTTCCCTTGAGTAATCCAACACGATTACACGAAGCGCAGCCACAGGACATCAATGAATGGACGGATGGAAAGGCATTGATAGCCACTGGCAGTCCGTTCCCGCCTGTTGAGCACAATGGCGTAAAGAAAGAAATCGGTGCGTCTGTTTGCCCCATTCATCTAACAGGCTCGAAACTGATAGTCGGGTAAGCGGAATGCAATAATTCCACCTGCTTCCCTGGAATCGGTCTAGGCGCGGTGCTGAGTCAAAGCCGTCTGTTATCGGACAAGATGCTGGTGGCAGCGGTCAAGGCACTTGCAGCCCAATCCCCCGCTCTCCAGGACCCWAAMAAGCCACTGTTACCGGATGTTGAAGATGTGCGTGAAATTAGCGTTCATATCGCCAAAGCTGTTATTCAAGCTGCTATAGAGGAAGGTCTGGCCCAGGAAAAGGGTATCCCGGAAGAGGACAAGGAATTGGAGCAATGGATCCGCGAGCAGATGTGGGATCCTGAGTACCGGCCATTGGTGAAGCCGCGGTCGACTTAGTGTTTTTCTTTGTGCGTATAATACATAATTCACATCGATAGTTCGTTGATATACGCGGTGGTCGACTTGCAAAGAGGCAGTGCACAAATCAATCTAATCTACCGCCAATCAGCGCCAAGCGCCCTAGGTAAACTCGCTCAGCCTCAGGMCCCCGAAGCTAAACTCCGCGGGCGCGCCTTCTCCCATTGGTGCCTGTCTACGTAGCATCAATGATGTAAACTCTTTCGGATGTTTTTTGCCTCTTCATTCCTTTCTCCCAGTATATCACCCCATGCCCTCTCTGACTCACCTGTATCACCATCTTCTTCATCCTCATCATCATTCTTAAAGGCTTCGTTTTGATTGCGACTACCTTTTTTCACATCAACATGAAGACATCTTTAATTACCAGCGCCCTCCTCCTTCTCTCACCCATTGTATCATCGCTCGCGATCCCGCAAACGGATCTAGTCTCTCTCGAAGAGCGAGAGGCACTCGCAGCGACAGTAATCCTCGATGCTGTCGATTTAGAAAAACGACGTGGTGGCGGAGGCGGCAAGAGTGGTAGTTCAAGTGGCAGTTCGAGTGGAAGTTCGAGTGGCTCTAGTTCCGGCAGCTCAGGCAGTTCATCTGGCAGCTCTGGATCTAGTGGTTCCAGCTCAAGTGGTTCAAAAGGTGGGAGTTCAAGTTCTAGTGGCTCAAGTTCGAGCGGTTCAAAAGGTGGAAGCTCCAGTTCTGGTTCATCCGGGTCGACTGGTTCCATAGGAGGCTCAAAAGGAGGCTCTTCTGGAATTAGCTCAGGCTTCGGTTCAATTGGCTCAAAAGGCAGTGGCAGTTCAAGTTCAAGTTCAAGTTCTAACAAAATTTTTGGTGCAGGCTCTTCGGGCAGTACCTCGTCATCGAGGTAATACATCCACTCACATCCGTAGATTTTGACGATGATGCTGACCGAAATAGTAACACCGGAGGCGCAACAAAGGCAGGATCAGGAACTTCCAGATCCTATGGAGGTGGAAGCTATTATGCCGGTGGCGCAACAACTCCCTATGCTGCCGGTAGTCGGTCCTCGTCCGGCATCGCCCCGTACATCCTGGCGGGAGGTGCTCTCGGCTTCGCAGCAGGAGCTGCATGGCATTATCCGTATGGCTATTATGGATATCCTTACGGAGCGCCGTACTACTACCACACCCCGGTCAACCACGACGCCCAGAACAACACGGCCAATTATACCATGAACGTGATTTGCTATTGCGAGCAATATAGCGAGTGTGGATGTGACGACAACAATAATTCGACCTTTATGAACGAGCTCATCGGAGACCCTCCCAAAAACTCAAGCGCTGTGACCATTATCCAGAACGGAACGCATGAGACGGCGTACGTTAATGGCACACTTGCAAACGGTACTACCTCGGCGGACTCTTCAATTTCGGGCGCATCGATATTGACTTTGCCCTGGAAGTGCACATGGCCTGTTGTTGTGATTGTGACTGGTATGATGTATGCTTTGTAATGATATTGGCGGTTTACAACGTCTTTCTTCCGTGTTTGCTTGCTTGTTTGTTTGCGATGATATGGTCATTCGCTTTGACCTGGCTGTGGCTTAGTACTTGTACATAGGATTATACCCACTCGCTATAGCTATGATAATGTTGTTCTTATTGCTTAATTATCTATCTACCTGTCCGGCAGTGGCGCCACCACAGACGCGCAAGGACTTACGTACGTGCCACGAAGCTTGCTAGATTATACAACACGACTTTTACCTCTACCTACATAAGTTACCACAAACATACTACAAAGTAGTACGATACAACTGCGAGAAGTGACAATTTCATTCTGTGATCTAGTTATCTTCAAAATTGAAAAATATCAATCTCCGATTGACCGGGATCAGCCCAATCTGAAACCGCTCTCGCAAAGCCACCAAACCATGTGGGCCTGTCTATCATTATCTAGTATTTCAGCGTATTGAGATTCATCTCACCATGTGCTGGTTTTATATGGCAATGATATGCTGTCGATCTGTGTTTCCAAGCTTTTCGTATACCAATGAAAAATTCCTTTATTGACAAGATGACATGCCGATTGTTCCCTCGCAACAACTAAATACCCACAGGAATGTGTAGAAATGTCATTGCAGCCGGTAATACAGATACTACCCGCGTAATATACGCAAATTAAGCCTTGTTAGCGCGGTCCTGGCCCGTTTTCTTCGTACGTCAGTAATTAATTTGTCTCCCGTGTTGATGGTTGACATTCCTCTCTTCTATATCTTCTCTCGTCTTCTTGTCTCGCAGCTTTGATAGTTGTTATCCTTTCTTCAGTTGCTTCATTCAATATTGCCAGCAGAGTCAGCATTCGTTCAGCACTCTTCTGTCGTCCGTTCTTTGCATTCGCTAGTCGATCGCTCTTCTTGCAACTTTGATATCTCGATCATCTACGCATATCAACGTCTATCGAATTGTCCAGACATTCAAATAATAAACAAACCAAACAACATGCATTTCGCTAAGCTCCTCGTTCTCCTCACGGCAGCTGCTTCCTCTGCGGTTGCCGCATCAACGACAACCATCACCATTGTCAACGCACACACATCAACAACCCCAACTCCAACTCCAACTCCCACGCCGACACCCACGCCTTCCTCAACTTCTACTTCAACCACTACCACCTCATCGTCATCTTCTTCAGTGGTAGTCATCCACACACCCTCATCCTCCAGCGCCCCGATCCGACAATCCAGCTCCTCAATCGTCGTCAGMCCCTCCTCCTCCGCACCCGCCTCAAGCGTCGCACCAATAACCTCTGTCGTGGTCGCAACCGCCTCCGGGACCGGACAAGCAGCTACATCGACCTCCTCGACAGCTTCAGCAGCTTTATCGACAACTTCTTCTGCCGCTGTGGCAGCACACAAACAAGTCGCGGCGGGCGCTGTGATGGCTGGCGTGGTAGCTGTTGCGGGTTTGGTGATGATGTAAATCGTCTGGACCGGTACGAATGAAGACGATCAACGAAAGACAGCCATATACTTCGGTTCATTCTCGGCATCACTTCGAGGATATACATACATTCGCCAAAATGTATATATCAATTTGACTCTGCAAGCACGCACTTTCCCTTCGCTTCTGGACTTTCTTATACCCTTCTATTCTACGCAAAGTCGAACTGTTCGGTCGACTGTTTTGTTTATTACTTCTTCTAATGTGCCAGACACATCAGTCAATCGTTAGAGATTGACTATTCATTTTTGGAATACATACTTATACATGAACTTTATCTGCGTACCTAAGTGGAAGCAACATTCTTTAATCAAATAGAATTTATATAATACAAAAAGAAAGCAAAGAGCAAATCTAGACGGACAGAGTTGGGTATGTACTTTTTCAAAGTAATAGTCTCGTATAGACTATGTATGACTTACTATACTTACAGATCAAACGGTAATCGTACCATCCTTATGCGTCGCTTCGTACCTGCTCAATATTAGTATCCTGAAGTTTGTTAAAAGAGAAGAGAAAGAAAGAAAAAATACCTCTTCCCCCTGAAAGCCCAAATCCCCCAGTTGCCAGCCGAAACATCACTCGGGTCCATATCATTCAAATCCCACCTCAGACTCCGGAACCTATTCTCGCCCGGTTCAAGCAGCACATCAAACTCACCCGCACACTTGTCGCGCACCCAGTTGATGTCGCGCTCCAGGTCGCCCTGCGTGTAACCCGTGCATATGATGGGAACTTTAGTCTCGAGGAGTTTGGGGAGTGTGTCTGCCCATTCGTGCGAGCTTGCTGGGTGGCCTAGACCAGGGTGGAAGAGCATGAAGCAGTCGAAATAAGGGTCGTAAGGGTAAAAGTATTGCGCGTCGTGCATGGTGTGAAAGTAATCGACGTACGTTGTAATTTTCATTTGAGGACCCAGTCGATCTTCGACGATTGCGCCAAAGGGGTTGGAGGCTGTGCGTTCGGGTAGTGGGAACTCGTCGTCGCGGTTGGCCATGCTCTCGGGACCGATGAAGATGAGATTGATCAGGGCGTTGGGGAACATGTGCGTCAGTTGAAGCCAGACTTCGCGGGGTAGAGAGGATTCGGCGCGGGCTCCGAGAATGAAAATGCGGACTGGTGGTGCTTTGAGTCGGAGGCCGCGGATATCTTTGCCTTCTCCTTGTTTGGGTGGATGGAGGGTGTAGCGGAGGGCTTTTCAATCAGTTAAAATGCAACAAGAAAAAAAAGGAGGACTCACCACTCAGACTCTTCAAGCCCTCAGCCGTCAATCTGCCTCCCTTGTGCACAGTATACGGACTCAATTCATGTATAACACTCGCAATCGTAGTCGGATACGTCAACATTCGCGTCACCTGCCTCATACTCCTCTCATTATTAATTGCCTCGAATTCCCTCGTATACAAGAAAGTATCCCAATTCGTCATGTTCACCACGAAATTATCATCCTGTGGTCCGGGGTACGTGAATTCCGGGAAGAAGCGACCAGAGACCAAGTCATGATCATCTTCGTTGATTTGTCGGATTGTCTCGCAGACCTCGAGATGGGCTTCAAAGTCGTCCATCCAGTGTTCCTCCGAGCAATACAACGGGACACCGCAGTCGGGACATTCGAAGTGGGAATGGGCCGGTGGGAGGGTTCCGGTGGCTACTTCCTCATCTTTGGCAGTGCCTGTAGGTGCGCGAGTCTGCTGATGGCTCGGATGCGGACAGAACGCATTCTGCTTAATGAATGCAGCTCGTTTCCGGATTATGGGTGAAGGCGACGAGGAGTAATGATGGAATAGATTATCCGGTCGTCGTAGAGCAGCTGTTTCTCGTGAGGTAGTGTGAGGAGGCGCGACTGCAGCGGCAGATTGCACATTACGTGTAACTTGCTTGCTTGGTAATATCAACGAGCTTCGTCCGGCATTTACTCCCACCGAAGAGGTCTTGTTCAAAGCCTTGAATTGACTGCTGTTGGCGCCATTCTTAATCCGTACCGGCAAACTTCGCGGGCCCGTTGTCGTGGAAAAATTACATCTTCGGCTGGCCTGCGAAGGGAGGCGTCTGAAAGTAGAGAAAGTCATTCGATGGTGAATGTGAGATTTGAGGACCTGCGTACAGCGACTACACGTAAATTCGCTCACCATTTCGAGGCCAATTGGATTGGACGTTGACGGATGTAGCTGGTTAGCTGTTGCTCGAGAAGCGGATGATTATTAGATATGAATCACGTGATGTAACTTTTGCCAGATACCAACCAAGATATGGTTTGGATGAAAGATCTCTCTGACATTTGTTCAAAATGGTATTATAATGATGCATAATGTATACTAATAATATATAGTCGTCGTAAGAATGGATATAGGCTGGCAGCAACCACTCACGTACACCGTACAGAGACCACAAGAATAGAAAATGACAAACTACCTGAAACCACAGAAAGAATACCACTAGAAGATATCCTCCGATTTGGACCAATCGCTAACCTCTCTGCATTTCCAATACTCACCAGTAGACTGCCAATACTCCTCCCCAGTAACCGGACACTTGGCCTTTTGGAACCACTGAGGAATAAACTCTTCGCCATTCTTCTCTCGTTCTCTTCGTTTGGCTCGCTGTTTCTCTTCAACGCGATGCTTCTCCGATGCTGCAAAGTCATACTCACCGTCCTCCATGGCCCGCTGGTCGGGACGGAGTCGGGTATCAGTTGGTGGTAAGAATGGTCGGAGACGGTCTGGAATCGCGTTCAGGGTTAATACGAAGGGTGTTAGATTGAATGGGATACCGCTGGGCCGAACGTTGGCTTGCCAGAGCAGGATAGCCTTGGACGATTCGTCGTTTTCTGCAACGGCACCCTCCTGCCCTGATACTGGGCGCGCAAAGATCTTGTCATTCCATCTTCCACCAATGTTCCATTTTGTAACTCCGGCAGCATCAACTACCTTTCCGGTGACTTGATACGCTGAAGACGCTTTCCAACCGCGGGCTTTGAAGTCTAGATAGCAAGTCTCTCCGGTCTTCCAGTTCTTGACCTCCATCGGTCCGTAGTTATCGACGGTAGGGTTACCCGTGATGATACCAATGACTGAAGAAGTCACCTTTTTCCAGGTATATATCTCCTCGTCTCCTGTGATAGGACGTAATTTACAGAACCATGTTCCTAACAAGTTGATGTCGAATGATTTTCCGTAGAACTTGGATTTCAGAGCCGATTCACCCTATCATCAAATGTCAGCACCCTTGGCTCGTACTAGAATGGGGAAGCCTACATAATAGTCCCATCGAGGGGATTCAGCCCAGGCGGCACCAATCGGTGGATGGTGGCTGACTTGCTCAACATAGAATCGATACTGCTTGTCCGGTCGAGTATATTCAAATGTTTCTCCCAAGAGAGGATTGAACGGTTTGGCAACTCGTCCGATGGTAGATGCATACTCGCTAATAGCATAAGCAGCGACATAAAGTAAGCGTTCCAGTGAATCGGTACGATCTGCAGCAATGTCTAGAAGATCAGTGTATTCCATGTCTTCAGCCACACGCTGAAGGAGCGAGGTAGGCTCGTTGAAAGATACCGGAAGAGTCATCTTTGTCATGTCTTTACCGATCATAGATTTAAGAATACCCTATAAGGCAACACGTCAGCATGTGATCGTTTCTTATTGTTTTGATTGACTCACCCAAAGAGAGATTTTCGGCCTGTCATCCTTGTCCATCTTCAATCTCGTCCGTATCGGATCTTCGTATCCCTTGTATGCTGATTCTATAGCAGCAAGCTTGGTCGAGCGCAAGTCAGCAGCTTCACTATCAACAGTTTTTGATTCGACCAATTTCTCGCTAGAAAGTACCGCGCCGACTTCAACGTCTTCATTGTCAATGGCATCGAAAAACTCCGCTTCATCGTCAGAATCTGACTCGGCAAGGTCTGCATATTCTGATATAGTCTGACTCTTTGTTGCAGTCTCGTCAATTCTGACTTGCTTAACTTCGCTGGCCGAAGTTTGTCGTGTTCTGTCAACCAAAGCTTCTGCTTCTGCTTCTTCGAATGTCTCGATCTCCCCTGTGTGGTCTTTGTGGTCACCAAACGGCACACGTCCCACATCAGCTCCGGCGGAGTTTTCAAGAACCTCCTTAAGCGCCTTCTTCGTCCTTTTGCGCTTTTCTTCCGACTCGCCAACTTTGAGCTGAAGCTCTTCATGTTCCTGCACAATCCGCGCCATACTCTCCTCCCACATTTTACGTGTGTCAGATTCTTTGTCAAGGCGGTACTGCCAGTAGGCATCTCTGTCGCGCGAAATCTTCAGCAAGTTTGCGAGGAGATCGTTGAGACTGCCGACGGCTGATTCGTAGGTGGACAATGCTTGATCAATAACGGGGTTTGATACGGTCAGTTCGGGGTTCTTGGTTTTCTCGGCTGAAAGGGAAGCAGACACGTTAGACAACAGGTCTAATTGTAATTTCGCTGACTGCGCCGTAATGTAGAAAGCATCCTTGTTGGACGGTTGGGCATCATGGCTCGAGGCATAGTCGTGATAGTTCTCATAGTCAGCCTCTCCATCAAGACCACCAGGTGGTCCGGCGGCACGGTTAATGTCAGTTTGAGCAACACTCTGGGTGTAGGAGTCGTAGGCCGAAGCATCATCATCGCCAAGCGGATCGGCGGTGGTGCGCGATGTATGAGTATTAACACGCGTGAAGCTAGACTTGGGGTCGGTCACCACGGAACCTCCTTTGACATTGAGCTTGGAGCTGACCGAGGCAAGCTCAGAGGCAGGTCCTTCGGACACGCGGCTGTCCACATTATGTATTTTTGCTTGCAAGAACTCTGCGTCTCTGGTTCGTCGCTTTTCTTCTTCCTTGGCTTCATCTTTGGCCCATTGAATGGCATTGTTCAAAGCCCAGAACCATCTCTTTGCTTCCACCACATGGTTCGCTTTTAAGTGATATTTCACGGACGACTTTCCAAGGATCTCAAAACGGGTCTTGTCCTGCGCATCCATGTGTAATTTTGCAATACGCATGCTGATAGCGCCTCGACAAGCGGAACCGGCGTCGTCTAAAAACGTTTATTTTAGCCTAAATGCTTTCCTTTTCAGAGAGATTATAGCAGCACTAACCTTGGTGTTTGTAATAACTCAAGACTCCGTCCTCAAGGACAAACCAACGTAGCTTGAAACCTGACGTGTAGTTTGTCCATTTCTTCAGGTAACCCTTCATTTCTCTTGCATCCTTTCCAGCAAGAGTAACTTCTGCGCTTACAGCTCTGCTAGAACTAGCAGCTTGAGAGGGCGCATTTCCTAGGATTGCTCTTTCTTGGATACCGCGCTGTGCGATAATCGCAGCAGGCGATTTCTTAACAATTGCTCGTGTCTTGTCGTCCTTTGTCACGTCTTGGGGGAGTTTTCCCTTCTTATCACGTCTGAACGGATCGGCGCCATGTAGGAGCAGAATCTGTAACAGTTTTGTGTCCTTCTTCCTGGCACCTTCATGAAGCAAAGTTCCTCCTGATTGTGCTGTAACGGTATCCGTCACCAATTCTAGTGCGTTCACATCAAGGTTACCTTGTACACGTGGTTCTACAAGTAACTTCTCCAAGCCTTCGTAGTCTGTCCGAACAACCATATCCTGAATCTGCTTTGTCTTGGTATCAATGAAAAGCGAACGAGAAAGCTGCAGCTTTTCAAAAATGTCGGGGGTACGCGCGAGGTCGAGGGCAGTCTGCCCCCTGTAGTTGGCAATGGAGTCATCGATTTGAGGCAGATCTAACAATGATTGGACGACCGAGTCCCGTCCAAGCTGGGCCGCAAGATGCAACGGCGTATTTCCTTCACGGTCCCGAGCATTAACATCGATATCTGCCCCGCTAGCCACGACATAATCCACTACTTGCAAATCCGCACATTGTATAGCCAAATGAAGTATGGTAGTGCCCGCCGCTGGTCCACCGGAGGAACTTTGCTCTTTGGCTTCTCTCAGCGCCTTGGATATAGCGGTAGTATCGCCGCTGCGCAGAATCTCAAAAAGACGGAATGTCTTTACGGATTGTTCAATTGATGCGGCGCTGGTTTCGGGGGTATTCTTGATAGAGGCCGGTTTCTCGGGGCTGTCGAATCCCCCCGCATGAGAGGAAATATCACCCCCAGATACAGACGGCGATTCCATTGTGATTTCGGGTCCGACCCTTCTATTACTTCGTGTTTTGGTCAAGGACAGTGATGAATTTCGATTGTGTTGCGATTCCGAGAAGGACGACGATCCGACTGACGTGGGCGAGGTGCTGCCGTTGTTATTCTCGTCTCGGCTGTCGCTCTTTGACTTGTCGCGATGAAGAAGAGTTCGTGCCAAGCCACTCTTGGATCGCTTATGACTGTAAGAGAGATAGAGATTAGTTATGGTTTTGTAATATTGGCGAATCGCTCAAAGTTTGATTCAAGGTTGTAGTCAAAGGGGGGTAGATCGCAATGACGAAATGGATCGGATTGCAGTAACGTCAACGGTCAAGGTACACGGGGTATCTAAGACTTTTGGAGTAACTAAGTTTCATATACTCCGGTCCTGACGGTGGCGAGTTGATGTGATTTGCAAGCTTGATGTTGTGTAGGATGTGGCTTTCTGGTCGATTTACTTACCCAGCTCCGGGTTCGGTCATGGTCCCAGCAACTGCATAACACCGCAGCTCAACGTTACTCGTTTGGTCGGACAAAGCAAGCAGGACAGGTATGCGAAAATGAGTCAAGAAGGAGAACAAGCTCGATGTCCAAGTAAGGTTACAGTTGAGTATGTAGGTATTGGTAGAGAATGAGGAGAGTATGGTGGCGGGGAGGTAGATTGGTTCTTAGTGAGATTGTTTATTACTGCGGCGGTGTCCTTAGACTCCTTAACTAGACTGCGGAGACCTTAGTCACCCTCATTAACTTCAACACATCATCCAACTTTCGTCTACTCTGCAACACCTTCCAACGCTATGTGACTCCAACAATGACTAACAAGCGGACAGATTTAGAGCATTAAATGATCTGCCCTCTTTCGTTGACCTAATTGATGCTGTCAAAACTCACCCGACCGATATGTAGCAAGCGGTGAACCAATGAGTGACTTGTATAAGTCCACGATCTGTTCGACGAAATCCTACGTACAGCGCTACCGGTGCAACTCCTATGGCTGTTGAGCATACCGGCTTGATACGGAACTTTCGGCGCTGTCAGTACAGTGTCAAACAACCTTTTGAAGAGGTCGGTTTCATCATGGATTGCATAGAGTAGTCGACAAGGAAAGGGTATGCACATTAACTTTGCATGAACACAATCATTTTTCAAGTCATAGTGATGATCATCTGGTCATACTTCATGAATGTTATTACATTTGATTCTATATGCAAATTAGATGTACATGATTCTATCCCATTAGGAGTGAATAGTCAGAGTTAATTACCTCCGCTCTCCACTGACCAAGAGAATAACACTTCCAAGCTGTCTCCTCAAATCTTCACGATCAACATCATGCGTATCTTCCACCTCACCCCACTGATCAGTTTGGTGAGTCACCTCCAGGCTTGACGCATGGGCAGCTTCTTCGACGCCAAATCGCGACCCATCTTTTCCCTGTTGGACAGTCTCTTGCAGACCGGAGAAGTGTTCACTCCATTCGACCACCAACCTGACTGCAACCAGTAAGCTCTTACTAGCAAGGATTCCCCTCTCAAGTCCCGCCAATTCATAAGCTGGGAGCGCCGAAATCCAGCTTCGGATCGTCTCCAAGGTATTCTCATCCTGCGGCGTGGGCAGAATACTACTCTCGTCCAAAACGGGTTTGATTTCGACATCGGGCCAGACTGTTCTGGTCAAAAAGTTGATAATTTCTCCAGCAACCCGAGCTTGCTTGTCGCGTAATGTTTCTTCTTCTGGCGCTGGTGATGCCTTTGATAGAGGGTTGTGAATCTCCTTCCCGGGAACCCAGCACAGGAGGGTATCTGTTTCGAGATAGCGCATGGCTGTTCGTGCGATTTCTTGTCGGATTCTTTGTTGACCCAATTCATCTTCTCGTACGATATCGGCCGCGCGAGTGGTGAGCGATGTTAGCGGTATAAGATGCTGTTTGAGCGCTTGCTGGGCGGATGTGAGGAGATCCCATTCTAGAGCAATGGCTTCGGCCAGATGTCTTTTGGTGCTGGGAACAGTGAGGATGGCTTTTGTAGGACTGCGGACTGGTCGGGTGTCGAGAAGTATTTGATAACCATCTGAAATCATCCATCCAGTCAGTAAGTAATCGAGACGTATTCCTTTTTAGGGAATATCTCTAAGCGTACCTGGTGATTCCTTGACATTGACATCCTTCCAAAACCGTTTTTTCAGAGGAGTAGTTTTGGCTTGCGATACTCGTGCGGCGGATTCGGACGTTTGACTTTCTTGCTGTTGTTGCGGAACTTTCTGTTGGTTAAGTCCCGCTCGTCGCGAATCAAATTTAAACTCTGCAGCAGGCGTAGGGGCTTTGGGGGGTGGCCCATGAGCCGTAATGGGATGAGCAATTGCCCATGTTCGTGTGGCGCAATGGAAACAGCGGACGGACGATGATATCACGGCAGGKGTAGACAATCGTTGAGAAGAAGACAGGATTGTCGCAGCTCGACGGATTTCAGGCCTCATTTTGCAGCTTCTTTGATAGAACGAGAGCTAGACAGTAATTGATGAGGACTATTGACGGAGCGTTCATGAAGCTTTTCTGGTGACGATAGGAAAAGTATTGCCGCTAAATGCCGCCTTTTATATGTAACCCTACGTAATCCTACACAACCCTAAGATCTCTATGCATCAACGCCCCTTTTATATCGAGATATACCAGTTCAAGTGACATTTAAGTTTGAAAGAAGATATTATTGCTGTGGTGTGCGATTGAATGACATGTAGCTCATGTAGTGCAGGACTTCTATACATGAGAAATCAAGCGAACATACCTCGCTACATATAGAGGCCCTGATGGTCGGTCCATCGTTCACCATAAGGTATGTACCACAAATATTCTATTATTTGTAAATGTTCAATTGCAACATTCAAGAAATATAAGATTCTTGGTTGTTTGCATGGGCATAGACTATTATCAAGTAACAGCAAGCATATTCTGCCTTCTTAGGTAAGGTAAGGGCATCTGAAGGCAATTGCTTAAGTAGACTGAACAAAACTTCTGAAATGGGTTAGCTCTAAAATTATACCACATGCATCGGAATAGCTTTGAGGATTCATATAGTATAAGTTCAAGCCAGAGGCGTGCTGAGAGTATTTCCAGTCTTGAAATCTACATTGAGACATGACTATTCATCCCCGTCAGCAAGGAATGGCTCTGATGTAGACATACAATCGCAAGTCTCGACATGGTAGTAAGGTTAATGGCCTCAAAATACTACGATTGATAGGTTACATTTTTGGATATACTATAAATGACTGCCAAATGAGTAATGCTGGGCTGTCTGTCCTTGATCAGACAGTCTTGGAACATGTCTAGACAAAGAAAGTAAGTTTGAAGCCACTCGTCCGTAATTGACACACATTTAGACCAGATTGTAGGAGGAAGGAGGTATATGACTTCATCCCAATCTAGAATGACGCTTGCCAAATCTAGGTATGCAGGGGCATTCACTGACTGATCAGAGATCAGCAGATCTGATAAGAGTAGGATGTGACTCACTCTCACTCAAGAAACGCCGTGCCAAGCCTGATCTTCGAATTGTTTCCCGTCTAGGCAGCTCGTACTCTTTTAAGTTATTTTGAGCTCAAGTTCTGCGACTTCGAATTGTGAGTCATTCTACACAGACCATGGTGCCCAACATCCATTTCACAGATCCCGATGTTGCTTCTTTAAGGCCTAAAAGGGTCTATAAACGTACCCTCATATACGTCAAGTATGCACAGAACACACGTGTTCACAGATCCTCTGCTGGAGCATGTAGCACGTACGTCGTAGTTGATACTAGATGTACTACTAGATATGTACCTTGTCGCACACTACCCTCCATGTATTCAGATCTAATTAGATATACATGTGCATAAGTAAATGCGTCAAACATGTACTTGACCGAGTTAGGAATCATAATAGTCTGACATCTGGCGTTTAGGTCGGTAGGCTAAAGTATGGGGGTATCAACATCGGTTGATGTACAGGAGGTCGAATCAATAGCGATATTCCACGACAGAGCACTATGTACTTCGTGGATAAGGGGCGTGCTCGATTAATCGGTTGTCTTTGTTTTTCCCAAATTATCAGGCGGAGAGTGTGTGAAAGTATCGCGTAGACTTCTTCGTACTTGTTGGGACATATTACATCGTGGACGAATTATTACCCGTTTAGGAAATATATTGATCGACATCTTGACATGGTCAATCAATACACACTCGAGCGATACAGTCAATTAGGCATGTAGAGCCTCAGAATAATTCTATTATATTCTCCTTCAGCTGGCAAGTCCGTACACGAACATGATAGATACTCTTACAACAGCAAGTAACACAAATGCTATTGACCCTTCGCCAAGTAATCGGCGATGACTCTTGACTCTCGACTCGACTTTACAAATCAAACAATATTTCTAGCACATTATTCAAAGCCTTGTTTCAGACGCACGATGTTCCTAAAAAGGACTTCATGGCGTTCCCCAGAATTTTCGGTGTGATTCTTTCCTTATTTCGTCTCATGTTTCTCCGGGGAGTCTTCCCTGTACTCCACACCGGCGTCTATACAGACAAAAGAAAAGAATCTCATAGTACTACATAGTGGGTAGAGTACATACATCATTGATATTCAGACTGCATGAAACTGGGGCTAAACTTCTCTGCCGGTCAAGCATTAGTCTCTCGGGGGGAAGTCGACTTGCATTTCCGGATGCACTATGAAGTATGGAGATGGAAGCGTTGGCAGCCTAACATCCTAACATGCATGCATAGAAGCCATGCATGAAAGAAAAAAGAAAAAGAAAAAAACAGGAGAGAAAAGTAAAAAAGGTCGCTAATATGACGGGTGAAACTATAACTCGCAAATTAGTACCCCAAATGACAATTAATTTAATTCTTACACGCAACATGTACATATGCGGAGTACTCCGTACATACTACATACTATGTAGTAATGAATGATCGGCCTTTGAGTAGACCCTGACTATATACCTAGGCACGCCCACAACGTTGTTTAAGTCATCAGTGGCAGCGCTCCTGACAAGGGCCATCTCGTACGAATACCGAGGTCATGAATCGGAGGATGATCTGTTTTCTCGCAGACAAATGACGTTTTAGAGCACATTGTGAGAATGATCTTGCCTTTATGGCGTCAATCGATGCTTATACATGTTGAATATTGATGGTACATTAGATCACTCGATGTCCGGATTCTCTCAACACAAAGCTTGTCGAGTTTTGTCTAGACTCATTTATCATCACGATCCGGTTTATGCACTGAAACTATATTCGTAACGTAATTCCTGCCTAGATTGAAATACCAATATGCTACTGAGCGCCCTACCTAGGTATTGAAGTAGTAGCTACTGTACTGAGCAGGAATTCCGGGTTAGTCTAACTGACAGCTAAGTGTTGTATCTTCCGAACAAAGGAAAGGAACGTGGCTGAGCTTCTAAATCCTTACATCAGTGGATCCTATACTCTATATCATATCAAATTATTGTGGAAGGTCAAATCGCTCCGATAGCATCAGGATTGCCGAGTCCTATAATTCTACCCCTGAATGAATGACCCTGGTCTAGGAAGCACATGCGATACTGGCCATGTTGCAGAGAATTTCTTGTGCGTGGCCCTGTTCCAAGTTTATTTGGCTGTTATCCTCGGGAGAATTCAAGGAAAATAACATCTTACTCGTACCTGCAGGGAACTGAGATGTTAGTGCTCGTTATAGTCATAAAGTGTAACATGTGATCTGAACGACGCCTTCAAGCAGTCTGACACTTTGTTCCTTAAGAGAGCCTGAAGAGGTTAGGATGATGCCACCTGCCTAATTCGGTAGGTAGCTCCATCCTTCGAGTCTGGAAAGCTTCTTCCTACTAGTTCCTAGTAGCCTATGTGAAAAGATTGGTGGATCCGGTGAATCTATTAGAATGAGCTCGCCGTACGATACAGAGCACAATTACTTTAGAATGATCGTCGGTGCATACATGACTTACTACCAGATTTGGACGGAGCGTCTCGTGAAGTTTTTTTCTCTCTTGTGACCACTGCTAGGAAATCATTTTGGATGCTACTTGATTTTCTAGAAAGAGTAATGAAGTTCACGAGTTAATCAAAATATTGCAATTTAGACCGAAGGATTACTTGGTCAATTCGTAGTTAGCTATGTTAGTATTCGCTAAGCAATTAGCAGTGTAACATTCCGCCTTTTTCTTTCTACCGGTAGGTTTTTCCCTCCACAATTGATAAAGCCCATTGTTTCCGAGTCTCTAAAAGAGGACAAGTGTTCATTCGTCGGCGAGATAAAGAGAAAATCTGGAGATGTCGCTGATGCTCACTGAAGCATGATCGACTCCCGTTGAGCCGTATCCCTTGCCGTTCAAGCCCCGCCTGTTTTACCCTTTTCTTTTCTTTTCTTTTCTTTTGTCTAACGTGGATCATGATCCTTTTAGGAAATGTGGACGTCCGCAATTTGAATCCTCTCGATTGGTCGAATCCTTCTAGAATGGAGTTCTCTATAGGGGTTTAGTGCAGACGCTTGATGGGTCTCCCGAAGGATTGCCATTCTCCAACTTCCCTTTGCTTTTTTCTCATGACGTGCAGGGGACGGAGAATAGAAAAAGATATTGCAATCAAAAAAAGAAATGAGCGCGACATGGCACTTGTGAGTAGTATGCATGGACAACGTAGAAGGTGTCCGCTTTTCATCTTTCACGTCACCGATGTTTCTATCAATGAGTCGTAACTGTCAGACACCCAACTAGATCGAAGATCGTGAGCTTCCACGCCTGTGTAGAGGCGCATCGGCTCGGCATAAGTTCGGATACGTTGTCGAGGACTATTTTCTTACCGAGTCTACAAGTTGTCTGGCTTCCGATTCGCTCCGATCTACTTGCTGTGCTTGCCTTTTTCAAGTTGCCTGTCTTAGAGAAATTTATCGGCCTAGACGACGGCAGCCCGACCGGATGATTTTTAATGGCAGGGCCGATATGACTATGGAGTAGGTTGAATTCGATCTAGGGTCTAGGGCACAGGTTAGGGTTATGCGATCGCAGGTCTGCTTGGCTGCTATCACGAAAATCCACCAACAATATACGACATCAACGATGTGTCCCACGGCTGTTATAGAAACAAAGTAAATTAGCCCAGAAGACAAAGAAACAAAATGAACAGCAAAGAAGCGAACCCTCGCCTCGTGCATCTTCGCCGCCTCGGCCGTTTAGTTTCCCTCTTTCTTCCTCGCACGGACTCTTGGATAGATTGAATGACCGTGGCTATTGGAGCTTGAATTTATTCCAACCTATCAAATGCATCGCAAAAGCTGTATCAGGACTATAAGGCTACTCGATACTATGTGAGACTAATAACTCACTATCGAGACCAACATGTACAAAGCAGTAGTAAGTAGTTTTTGCCGATGTACCCCTTCAACCATGCAGGACCACCGAGGAGATAGATTTGGCTTGGGAGTCTCGGCCTGGTCT